CTAGGCCTCCTGATGAGTGCCAGCTGGGAGACCCGAGCAAGCGCAGTGGCACGAGAGCAGGCACTTCCCTCCACTGGCGCAGGTCTCTTGCTGGCTGTGGTGTGGATCAGCCCGTCGCTAGAGCTCGCTCTTGCCGTGCCTTGCCGCACCTCGTCTTGGGCTGTTCCTGCTCCAGTCACCTGCTCAGTCTGTCTTCCTGGCTCTTGATCCCTGGCTTTTCCGTGCCCATGCCCCAGCCTCGCTCCAATACGCGCCCCAGTTCCTGGCCCCGGCTCACTTCTTGACTACAACTCTGCCTCCAGCCCAGCTAGCAGGCTCTAGAGAGCGTCTGGACTCTGCCCTGTCTCAGGGTCTGCTCCCCGGCTCCCAGTGCCTCTCCTGGCCTCCTGCCACCCACACCCCAGACCCTGACACCCGGAGCAGGGCTGAGAAGTCCCGTGGAGACATCACACACAAATGGGGAATGCAACATGGGAGCAGGGGATGGGCTCAAACCTGCGTGCTTCCCGGGTCCGCATCTGCACCGGAGCCACTGCCTCCCTTCCTCTGGCGAGAGCCAAACAGGAATTCTGGAACTCGAGTGGAATTCCCCATACTTCAGCGAGCCACTGCTTCCAGATCTCAGGTGGCCACCCGTCTACATTACAGAAAGCCAGAACAGCAGAAATCGCCTCCTTTATAAGGTACAAAGCCGTCCTATAAACAACCTGCCTTTACAAAAGTCTATCATGCATGCAGCCCTTCCCCTTTTCTAAAGGGGTGCCGGCATTCTCCTCTCTGGGCCATAGGCAAGGAGATGGTGGCGCTCGGCCAGCCTTCCTCTCAAAGCCAGCCGGCTGCAGGAAAAGCTAGCTGGAACCTTCTGCAGCTGGTCAAGTTCTCAGCATGCTAACCAAGAGCTCTACTCCAAATTTGGAGCCCAAAGAAGAATAGATGTTGCTTGATGCTCACCAACAGAAAATCTTCTCCAACTCCTGTACTTCCCATCTCACACCCAACACACAGGCAGATCTGCTATTCTGATACAATTTGTGGCTGAACTGGATCGCGAAAGGCAAAGCATCAACTGAGCCAATAGTCCCTAATAACAACAACTAGTGGATGCATTCACAGTAACATTCTTCTTTATGCTGCCCAGCTCCATTGGAAAGTGTTTTCCTTAGCACAAGGCAAACTGCAATCTTTAACCTAACACTTAGGCTGCCAAATACTTTTTTATTTAAGCAACATTTTAAATGCTAAATACAATTGAATTTTATCTGGCCAGGGAGGCTTATTTTATAATGTGTGTTTTAATTAAGATTATTTTATATGGATATTTTAACTTATTGTTTTATCTATGTTGTAAGCCGCCCCGAGGCTTCGGCAAATGGGGCGGCATAAAAATATTTAAATAAATAAATAAATAAATAAATAAGGTAAAACCCTTCCTCCTGACCCTAAATAAATAAATAAATAAATAAATAAATAAATAAATAAATAAATAAATAAATAAATATGGTAAAACCCTTCCTCCTGACCCTGTAACCTAATGCTTCCTGCTAAGATTGAGACTACTGTGGTTTACATCTTTTACAACAAAACTCAAATCGCATTTGAAGACTGTATGATCCTGAATTCCTTCTAGGGGAATACCAAAGCACCACTTGGATCACTTTGTGAATACCTCTATTTCATTAACAGTGATAACTGGATTGATCAAATAAATTAGGGAGAAAAGCCGTTCCAGAGCATGATTTGGCTCCTTAAGAGCTATTGCAGCTTGTTTGCAGATGTGCACAGCTGGGATGTATTGACACTGATGCAGCATTTCCTTCACATACCTGGGCAGTGCTCCATTTAATGTGGTAGAAATGGGATGCTGGTTTAGTTTTTTGTTTGTTTTTAGAGAGGCACCAAGGGCAATAAAAGAGCTAAAGGGAGCTGCAACTAAGCATATATTTGCAGATCTCCCCCACTTCTGCTGTTGACATTTGAACTGAAAAGGATGTGACATCTTTGTTAATATACGCTATTGGTGCTACATAACAGCGGCTGTTTTGCACTTTCCACAGTGAATTAATTCTACAGTCTCATCTCCAAAACACTGCTTGCTTTGAGTAGTGGGGGGATCTAAGGTTATGCAATTGGGTTTCTGGGAATAATTCCATTGGACCAATCTAGGGAAAGTAGCATTTAATAAAGAAGAGCGGAATAACTGACCGCACATCCTCACCAGGCAAGGCCTTTCAAGGACAGTGAGCAGTGCCTCCACTAACCTCAAGATGGCAGCAAATACCCATATAACACTTCCATTCTAGAAGACAGTCCCTTTTATAGGTGAACCCAATTCACACCTCCTGCAAATTGTGGTTGGAAGTCTGCACACTTCCAAGCTTGCAATGCATTCTGCAACATATGACCAATGTGTGCATACCTCCAATGTTGTGTTTAATTAAAAATGCAAACATTCATTATAAAAAATTACAAAAATTTTTTGAAAATTTGCATAGACATTCAGAAATGAGATAGAACAAGCTTCATCAAAAAAAAAAAGTCCTTCCAAGTGAAACCAAGATTGATAAGCCTTCCCTAGAACTACATTCACAATTTTTAAAGTATGTCTCCAATATTTATAGAAAAGACTGAAAAACTCCATGAGACCACAGTAGAAATTTCCGGATAGCATTTAAATAATTTAAATAAACTATCTTAAAATCAATTGTATGTAGTTAAATCCTACTAAACCCAGTGTGTCCTTCTGCTCGTGTAAGTTTTTCAAATATATGGCTATCATTTTTATTTAGTTGTTATATGCCGTCATCTCCAACTTATGGAAACCCTATGAATGATTGTCCTAGAGAAAGTCCTATTAATGACAGCCCAGCTCAGCTCTTGTAAATGTAGTGCTGTAGCCTCCTTGATGGAGTCCACCCATCTCATATTTCATTTTTCTCTTCTTTTCCACCTTTGACTTTTGACTCCCCTTCTCTAGGGAGGCTAACCGTCTCATGATGTAGGCATGTCACGTCATGAGTGGAGCCGGCTGAGCTGGGGGTCAGACTAGGTGGCCCAGGGGCCCCCTTCTGACTCACTCTGTTTCTATGTGTCCAAAGTAGGACAGCCTCCGTTCTGTCATTTTCACTTCTAGGGAAAATTCTGGCTTGTTTTGCTCTAGAGCCCCCACTCATTGGTCTTTTGGTTGGTCCAGGGTATTCGCAAATATGGTCAGTCAGGACCAAAAACCAGCTATGCTAAAATGACAGGTTTAAACAGACTTAGTTCTCAAGATATGAATACACATACCCATGAGCATCCGCTCCGCCTCCTTTCACGGGCTAATTCAATGGCGCAAATGAGAAATGTAAGCTTCCTGGGAGTGCTGGCCTTCCTCTTTTGTTCATGAAGCTCTTTCCAGGCCCATTTCAAAATTCCTATGAAGGCAATACCTTGATTAGGTCAGCTAAAACATCTGCCTCGACATGTACATACCTGTGTGATTTCCGCCTTTTCTATCTACAGCTATGCTTTACTATTCTTTACTGGAAAGGTTTTGACCACAAACTACCTAGGTCACTTAAAAAACAAAACAAACCTGAGCACACTTAACTCCCCAGTAGTATCAGGACTAAGAAAATATTGCTTTTCTTCGCTTGGGATACTTCAGGTTGAGATTCTGAGAAAGGACAGGCCTTGCCCTAGGGCAGCTGGATGGATAGGCAGGCTTCCTCTTCACAAGAATAGGAACGTTGAGCTTGCCAGCATTTGGGGGTAACGGGACAGTTTGGCTGAATTCCCTCAGCTGCCGTTCTGACCACCCGTCAAATGCAGGCAGTTCGCTTCCTTATGCAAGCCCCTTAGTGTGCTTTCCCCTTTCTTTCAAAGCACGGTGCCGAGAGACTGGGCCTCGCGGGCTGCGTTTCCTCCCTTCGCAAATTCCAGGCACGGGGCCGTTCCTGTGCAAACGTTCTTTATTCACTCAAGTATATGCCATAGGCACAGTCACTTCATAAAGGGCCTCTGAGCTTGCACAGAGCGCTGCTTGCACCCACTCTAGCAGCCACTTGCGGAGGCCCTCCTCCGAGCCTGCCTGGGCCCGAACCCCTCGGGAGGGCCCTCAGCAGCGACCAGGCAGCGCAGCTGCCCCCAGAGCCTGCCTGCACCGGCGGGCCGTGGCAGAGGCGCCGCTCCCTCGCCGCACAGCCCGAGGCCCACCTTCCCAGGAGTCGGTCGGGGCGCGAACCCAGGCGGCCGCCAGGGCCGGAGGGGGCGAGGGGGCCGAGCCCGGGCTCCGCGCGCGCCCTGGTTCTCGCGAGACCAGCCGCCCCTTCCCGGCATCCCTCACGGGCGGCGGCCGGTGGGCGGTGCGGGCGGCGCTCTCGCGAGAGTTGGCCTCCTTGTTCCCGGCATCCATTTCGTGGCGGCCGCGGCGGCCATGTTGGGAGCGTCGGGGCGGCCGTAGTGCGGAGGCCTGTTGCGCGAGCGAGCGGCGAGCGGCGGCGGCGCGCAGGGCGGGAGCGGACGGTGAGGAGGCCTCGCGGCGGGCCGGGCCGGGCCGGGCCGGGCCGGGCCTCAACCTCAGAGAAGCGGGCGGCGCGCCTCGCCCGCCTCGCCGGCGCCATGAGCGGCGGGACGCCGTACATCGGCAGCAAGATCAGCCTCATCTCCAAGGCCGAGATCCGCTACGAGGGCATCCTGTACACCATCGACACCGAGAACTCCACCGTGGCGCTCGCCAAGGGTGAGGCGGCCGGGCCGGGCCGGGCCGGGCCGGGCCGGGCCGGGCCGGGCCGGGGGGGGGGAGGGGGCAGGCAGACGGGCGCGCCCCCCTCGCCGCGGCTCGCGTCGCCGCGCGTGTGGTCGATGCCAAGGCGCACGCCAGCCCTGCGAGGCAGGCGCCGTGGGGGCGCCGCGCCTGCCTTGCCTGCGCCCACTCGCGGCGCAGTTCTAAGCTGGAGCCACGACGACGTCGAGTGGCTGCTCTCCGGCAGGGCCCGGGTTCCCTGCTCGTTGGCCGCGTACGCCCGCCTTGCAAGGTTGTCTCTGAACCGGGGCTTCTCTTGGCGGCAGCCTTGAGGCGCTCTGGCTTGGAAAGGCGGAGTATTAGGGGAAGGAAAGGTGCGGGGGCTCAGCCTGTTAAGTCTCCGCAGGACTCCTACTGTGGAATACACGCGTCGTTCTTCTGTAAACGCCCCGTGTGAGTTCCTCGTGAAACTTGTTTTTGAGTGATCGGGGGAGCAATCGAGAAATTGCTCCGGATTGTTTTTCCAGAGTGTGGCAAACTACGGAAACAGAAAAGCGGAAACGAGATGTGTGTGTGGGGGGGTAATTTGGATGGGTGTTGTTCTTGAGGCTGATTTTGTGTGAGGTTAAGGTAGTCAGCTTTTATGCAAATTCCAGGGTTCTGGAGTATAGGAGCTGCCACTGGGAATAAGTGGAATGTAAGTAAATATTAATAGTACCAGTAACAATAATACATTTGTGGTTTATTTCTTTTCTTTTCCTCGGGTTCACTTCTACATTTGTTTTTTTTTAAACAGCTGGGTTTGCCTTGGACATTGTTGTGTAATACATTAACTAGTTACTCTGTAAACATTTTTAATGATGTTGCATTTGTTAAATTTGAGGAAAAACAAAATATATGTATTTGATTTATATCCCACTTTTTTCCCTTATAACACACTCAGAGTGGCTTCTGTCATTCTCCTTCACCTACTCTCAGACTTATCCTCACAGCATCAACCCTGTGAGGTAGGCTAAGATGAGAGTCTTTAACTGGCCCAAAGACAGCCAGTTGGCTCCACGGCCAAACAGGGCTGGAACCCAAATTGCCTGAGTCCCAGTCCCACACTCTTAACCACTGTACCACACTCTCACTCAATTTTGTGTTGTGTATATTCTTTGTTCTTGTTATTTACAGTCTTAATTTTAGTACTATTTTCCTTGGCTTGATTTCACTTCAGACTGTTGCAAGTCTGGGGAGAACAATGCTGAAGTTCCACTTAGATTCACAAGGAACAGTACTTTTTGTTCTTTAGAGTTAGTAGTTGATTCTGCAAAACTGCTTCACAGTTTTGAAGTTTGCACTTGTACATATCCTGTCACTTGACTCAGCAAGCATCCTTAACTTCTTTCTTTCCTCATGGATGCCATTATTTAATTACTTTGTTTCTTCTTTAAAACTGCTTTGCATTCACTTTCACCACTTTGCATTCATTTTCACCTCCGAAAATATAATTCATGCATGTTTTTACTGTTTGCTTCCCTAGGATTCTCTCTGATAATGTTTGTGTTCACTCTTTTGAACTTCTGTTCTGCTTTTCCTTTTATACAATTTGATCTCTCTGAAGCATTATTGTTTTGAATTTGTTGCCAAATTTACATTTACATTTTTGCATTTGTACTTTTTCTCCCCCTTGCCTGAACTCATACCATTTCTGCTGGGGAAGGGCCATTCCAAGTCCCAAGTTCAAACCTGTCATCTTCATCTTCAGTTATGGTTTGGAAGCTTGAAGAGCTGCATTTCTGGCACTGACTGAGTTTACATAGGACAACAGTTTGTGCTAGATAACTAGTCTCAGCAGGTCGCCATGTTGTCTGAAACCATATGACTTTGCTTATCATGGGCTTACTGGCAGGCAACAAGCCATCTTGTATCATCAGCATGTGGCTTGCTCCAAGGGTTGCTCAATGCACAGTGAGTTTCCTTGTCATCTGAGCCCAGTTGATATATTTTAGAATAGGCTACAGCTAGCACCCTGCTGAACACATCCATATCCATGAAGCAGAATTAAAATAATTTATTGAAGGCATGATTCTTAATTTACAAAGCTTTTCTGTGCTGCCCTCTCGATATTTTGATTTCTAGCACTCACCATTCCTGAGCATTGGACATGCTGATTAGGGCAGATAGGAATTGAAGGCATTTCCAAAATGCGTGGAGGGCAGTGGTTTGGGAAAGCCTCATCCAGGGGCTGAGGAAATGTTCTGCATGCAGATTGTGGCACTGTGTTCCACTGACCCAAGTCTCAATGTGTTTTTGTTCTACATTTTCATATTAGTTTCTATTTCTATACTACCCTGTAGCCAAAGCTTTCTGGGCAGTTTCAAAGAAGCATACAGTATATCACAGAAGTGAGTACACCCCTCGCATTTTGTAAATATTTTATTATATCTTTTCATGTGACAACCCTGAAGAAATGACACTTTGCTACAATGTAAAGTAGTGCGTATACAGCTTGTGTAACAGTGTAAATTTGCTGTCCCCTTAAAATAACTCAACACACAGCCATTAATGTCTAAACCGCTGGCAACAAAAGTGAGTACACCCCTAAGTGAAGCTATCCAAATTGGGCCCAAAGTGTCAATATTTTGTGTGGCCACCATTATTCTCCAGCACTGCCTAAACCCTCTTGGGCATGGAGTTCACCAGAGCTTCACAGGTTGCCACTGGAGTCCTCTTCCACTCCTCCATGACATCACGGAGCTGGTGGATGTTAGAGACCTTGCGCTCCTCCACCTTCCGTCTCAGGATGCCCCACAGATGCTCGATAGGGTTTAGGTCTGGAGACATGCTTGGCCAGTCCATCACCTTTACCCTCAGCTTCTTTAGCAAGGCAGTGGTCGTCTTGGAGGTGTGTTTGGGGTCGTGAATACTGTTGGAATACTGCCCTGCGGCCCAGTCTCCGAAGGGAGGGGATCGCGCTCTGCTTCAGTATGTCACAGTACATGCTGGCATTCATGGTTCCCTCAATGAACTGTAGCTCCCCAGTGCCGGCAGCACTCATGCAGCCCCAGACCATGACACTCCCACCACCATGCTTGGCTGTAGGCAAGACACACTTGTCTTTGTGCTCCTCGCCTGGTTGTCGCCACACACGCTTGACACCATCTGAACCAAGTTTATCTTGGTCTCATCAGACCACAGGACATGGTTCCAGTAATCCATCTCCGAGTCTGCTTGTCTTCAGCAAGCTGTTTGCGGGCTTTCTTGTGCAACATCTTTAGACGAGGCTTCCCTCTGGGACAACAGCCCTGCAGACCAATTTGATGCAGTGTGCGGCGTACGGTCTGAGCACTGACAGGCTGACCCTCCACCCCTGCAACCCCTGCAGCAATGCTGGCAGCACTCATGTGTCTATTTCCCAAAGGCAGCCTCTGGATATGACGCTGAGCACGTGCACTCCACTTCTTTGGTCGACCATGGCGAGGCCTGTTCTGAGTGGAACCTGTCCTGCTCAACTGCTGTGTGGTCTTGGCCACCGTGCTGCAGCTCAGTTTCAGGGTCTTGGCAATCTTCTTATAGCCTAGGCCATCTTTATGTAGAGCAACAATTCTTTTTTTCAGATCCTCAGAGAGTTCTTTGCCATGAGGTGCCATGTTGAACTTCCAGTGACCAGTATGAGAGAGAGAGAGCGATAACACCAAATTTAACACACCTGCTCCCCATTCACACCTGAGACCTTGGAACACTAACGAGTCACATGACACGGGGGGGGGAATGGCTAATAATGCCCAATTTGGACAGTTTCACTTAGGGGTGTACCCACTTTTGTTGCCAGTGGTTTAGACATTAAGGGCTGTGTGTTGAGTTAGTTTGAGGGGACAGCAAATTTACACTGTTATACAAGCTGTATACTCACTACTTAACATAGTAGCAAAGTGTCATTTCTTCAGGGTTGTCACATGAGAAGATAAAATATTTACAAAATGTGAGGGGTGTACTCATTTCTGTGATATACTGTAGGTGGAATAGCCCGCATGTTCCATCACTGTGTTGCTGGAGGAAATATCTGCACTTTCTTTTCCTTACAAGTGGTTTTCAGAAAATGAATAAATGAAAATGAATGAATGAAAACACCATCTAACCTGAGCAAGCCCAGAAATGCAGGAGTGCTTAGAACCAAACAAAAACAGTCAAAAATAGATGTTTTCTTCACATATCACAATAGCAACTCAAGTTACATTTTGGAAACTCTGTGAGATTTGAAATAGCTTTAGCCTTTCCGTTGCATAATTTTCAGAAATCATTTTGGGAAGTAAAGCCTGGGTAGCAATATATGAATATCTTGCCTCAAACATTTTATTCATCTTCGAAAAGAAAAAAATCCCATAAGCCTATTTTTCCAGAAAAAAGCAAAAATGTTCCATGGGAGGAATATTTTCCCTCAGGTCTTTGCTACCCCAGACCTGCTCTCCCATGTCAGCTTCTACTCAGTCTGTATTTCATTATTTAAGAGCAGGTTAAATATAGCCACTGACATTGTAGCTTGTGGCAAGTAAGAATTGCCTTCAGGTGATTGGGCAGGGAGCCTACACATCTTCTGCTTTTGTGAAAGCTCGTGTTAAACCGACATTATTAAATGGGCCTTGAAACAGATGTTTTTCACTAATAGTTGGAGTATCCTGGGCGGCTTTCAGCTGTTGTTGCTCTTTTTAGAAAATGCTTGTGCTTGGCACATGTTCTTTCTTGTTTTAATGGTATGCATAAGATTCTTCTTTAAGATCTTTATAGGATTGTTTGTCATAGTATGATCTGCTTAGGAGGGTTATCTGTGGAAGACATCTTCCCAATATTTCAATAAATGAGAAGACCCACTTAATGGAATGGGCTCAAATTGATACACCCATATTTTCTTTTCTTTTTTAAAGGCGTCTTCTCTCGGTCTCAGTTTTGTGGGCCTAAAGAGTAAGACACGCACACTGTCCTGTGCTTCACTAATTCCAAAGCCTATTGAACCATGTCTTTACCTTGTTTGCACATAACTGTTGTACAGAAATACTGGATAGCATATGATACTGTGTATGTTTTCTTCTGCAGTTCGTTCCTTTGGTACCGAAGACAGACCAACAGATAGGCCTATACCACCTCGTGATGAAGTATTTGAATACATTATATTCCGTGGCAGTGACATTAAGGATTTAACTGTTTGTGAGCCACCCAAACCACAGTGTTCTCTGCCGCAGGACCCTGCCATTGTTCAGGTACTGTCCTCTAGCTGACGTCGCTTTCACTACGCTTAGAGGCACAGAATGGCCAGTGTTTGTGTGTGCATGTATTTGAAAGTACATAATTCAGGTGCTCTCACCTTGTACAGTTACAGGCAATTCGGACACAACCAAAGTTCATTAGGTCTTCAAAGGATCTCACCTTGCCTATAACGAAATGGATATGGTTCAGTCCATTGCCAAGTAACTGAGCAAGTTGCTTCTGGCCCAAATCAACCTTACTAGCGTCCACATTTTCACCCATATTGTGGTATACTAATGCAAACAGTAAAGGACCCAGGTAATATGAGGGGTGGCTGTAGCAAGATCTGATACCCAGAAGTGCTAGTAGAGCCTCATATGCCCACAACTCTGCAGTCCACCTTTTATTTTCTATCTGAGCTCTTACAAATCTAGAAGGTGTTGCCATAGTGTTCTTGCATGCGTCCTGATTTTTGTAGCGTTAAGATTGTCTTATCAAGAAAGCAAAACGTAACGGTGTTTCCTATCTAAAATTCTCTCAAGGTAACTCAGCAGTATAACCACAGACACTCTGACCCTTATATATGTATCCAAGACTTTTAACCAATTAGATCCTGAACAGCTTTCCAAAGACTATTGCACATGGAATGAAGCATGCTGTTTGAGGTTGTGGAACAGCCGCGTTAGCCAAATGTGACGCATGCTTTAGGTAAAAAAAAAAAAAAAGGACCCACTGCAGTGCCTCGTATTGCTCGCTTTCTGGTGGAGAACATCGGCGATTTCTCACAACAGTCATGCGCTTTGTAATAAAAGCACAAGCACTGCACCTCAATGATAGTCTTTTTAAAGATATTGGTACAAATGAAACGAAGCAACTGGGTGCATGAGCAGCAGTGGGCAGTATTTCCGTTTCAGATAGAGAGCTGATGAGAGTGCGGAAAATCCTTCAGGGATTAAACATTACTCTGAATTACGGCAGGGCAGGATGATGGAACTGCCACTGTTCAGGCCCCTCTGTGGCTTCCTGCCTAGATCCCACCAGCACGTGTCTGTGTTAGATACTTGCCCATATCTACCAGGCATGCCATGTGGGTGGCTCCTTTAGTTACAGGTATGGGCTTGTAGCTTTGGATGTATTAAGGATATCTGGAAAATTGAGACTACATTTCCCAGCAGCCCTTGCTGCCTGATGCTCTCTCTGATCTAGAGAGAAGAGTTGACTTGGATGGAGCTAGAGGGCCCCAGTATAGAGACTAAGTCATGAACCTGCAGGGCACATGCCATAGCCCAGTTGCTGAAATCCACCAGCATGAGGCCTGCATGGGTCAGTGTCTAATCAGCTTCCTCCCGAAGATATTTACCAAGTCATTTGTGGCAGGCACGGCACTTGCCATGGAAACAGACCTCATTTTTAGTACACCACCACTCGCTCTTCCCGCACAGCCAGGAAGAGGCAGAAATTTGAAAATTTGTGCATTTACAACATACATGACACTGTGTAATTTGCTAGGCTTAGTAAAATAACAAGTTAACCACATGGAATCTTCTGCCGGAGGTTACTCACAGACTGCTAGGATAGGTGTGTTCCTCACATAGCAGTCAGAGAAAGAATAGGCATGTGCTTTTGAGGTTTACCATACTGGTCTGTACCTCTACTGGTACAAGCAAGTCCTGAAAGAAGCTGCTTGTAAGGAGAAACTCTAGAAAGGATTCGGCCAGTGGAAGCCGGCCTTGCGCATCCTACAAGGAAGGCCACCTACCTGGGAGACCAAATCTGGACCTTGGCGCTGCTCCTTCTGACAACCTGCTGCTGGATTCATACAGCTTTGGTTTTGCTGAAGGGACGTACATCTGTATTTTCAATAAAGAACAGAGATGACCCTCTCCAGACTACACTCCCTGAAACTTTGCAAATTAGCTGTGGACTGCCGTCTTGTGGACGTGCTGAGGGACACCGGAAGCCATGCCAGGTGCGAAAAGGCTCCCGTTCTGTGCCACGTGCAGAGATCCACCCACTCGCACCATAGATTCTCATGGATTATGCTGTGATCATGTCGAAGGCTGTGACTGTCTGATGGAGAAAGCCGTCCCGTTGTGTTTAACAATCTTACGAACTACAATATCTTGTTTCATATATAAAACCCAGATCCCGTAGTAATCCTAGTTCGGTTGGTTGTATATACGCATGCACTTGCAATGCTGCATTCGCTAGTATCTGAAGGTGTGAATTATCTATTAATCCACCTCTGTGTTGTAACTGTAGTTCTTCTAGCAGCATCTGCAGTTTCTTCTGTGTGTTTTCAGTCTCCCGTGTCCATATAGTTCATATATGATGACTTTGCTGTTTCCGTGATACTGGTGTATTTTTCTGGCTTGACTGAGTCGGTCACGAATGTGGTTTTCTTTAGTCCTCTCTAGGATCAACTTCTACTTCTTCATTCCAGTCTGTGGGCAACTATGGTCCCTTTGGCAGAATGCCAGCCTACAGCCAGTTTAGTCCAAGTCCATTAGTGGGCCAGCAGTTTGGTGCTGTTGCTGTTGGTACGTTTGCTTTTTAAACTATTTTCTTGACAAGCAACTAAATGTTAAGAAACAATTGCAGATGCATAATGTTCCCATCCCGTAGGTTAAAATAAACTACTTGTTCGCATATGGCATGACATCTGTGTCGCACTCCCCAGTGGCTTTTCCTTTGCAAGCCCTTTTATGCTGGGCAGCCTGTACAACTCCTTCTTTTCTTTGAAGGGAGGTTGTGCAGGACGCATGCCTGGCGGAGTATATTTTCAGCGTTAAGACATCACTTTTGCTACACATTTTGCCTTTGGCTGAACGCCTTCTAGACATGATCAGATACTACAACGGTTCTTTGGGTATTTGAAATCTGCTCTGTTGAATAACAAGGGTGTGAGGATCAACACAGGCATTCTGTTGGGACCGATATCTGGGTTCAGGCCTGTGGTGTGGCTTGGTCAAGGTAGCCTTGCCTAGTAGCCAAGGCTCAGGAGAACCTCTGTACCATTCAAACCTCTGGCCTCACCTTTTGGTGTAAACTGCTGAGAGCATCTTGAGCAGAAAGATGGTAAGAGACGGAAGAGTGTGCCTGCCCCATTGTTTCGAGGGGTCAATTGACCTGATGCTTCCCAAGTGTTCTCTTTGTCCTCACTAGCTTGCCTAGGGAGCACTGGTCCAGCGGGTGGAGACGTGGGAAGATTACCAGGCAAGTTACCGTTGTTTAGCCCAAGCCCCAGCCTGTAAGGTGGGTCTGTTCGGATACCGCAATGAAAAACCTAGTAAAAGTTCTTGGGAAATAGGGAGCTCGAACTGCATTTATTTATTTATTTATTTATTTAAAACATTTCTATGCCGCCCCCATTGCAACAAAGCCTTGGGGCAGCTCACAAAGAATACATAAACAATAACAATACAACAAATTTAAAAAAAAAATTTGCATCATCACAAAGCTATGTTTAAACATGATCCCTTACTGGCAAGGTAACAGAGGCCGCCCCCATGTTCAGTCTGGGGACAATTGTGTCTTGGATGTGTACGTCATGGAGACCCCACGAGAAAATAAATAGGTCCAGTAATTTCTCGGTTTATTGTCCAGCAAGAGCAGCGCAAGCCCAGAGCCCTTACTAGCTTGATGTTCACCAACACAGAACATCCGAAGCAGTGCATTGGGCCCTGTTTGCAGGGTTCCTGTAAGGAGAGAATAAGGGAATGTTACAGGTTCTTGGCCCAATAGCAAGAGGAACGGATCTGTAAAAATCAATGCAAGTATCATAAGCCAACTGCTGCAGCTGTCATTGATATGATTTCTATACAAAACTGCCAGTTTGGAGATTGTAAGTAGTAAACAGATTCGAGTTTGTGTTCTGAAAGTTTTGGTTGAAGCGGATGTGCTATTGGTGAGGGGGTGGAGCCTTGAATGTGGGGAAATGTTTGAAGCCTCTCACCAGCTTGCCTGCAAGAGCCCCATATATTTCAGATGTGGCTCAGCTATGAAAATGGCAAATCAGGCACCAGAATGAGACTTACTTGAGTGTCATGTATGGGTATATTTGTATGTATCTTCAGTAACTTATTTTAGCAGCTTCTCTTCAAAATCTTCAGATTTCTCTTGGCAACAAAAAAATCCCTTTTTAGTCCCCAAAACTACAAACATGACCACATAATTAGCTGCCTGCTTTTTGACTGCTTAAAAATAAATGCTTATTTTTATTAGTCACATGAGTAACTTACCCTCAGTTGCTTCCATTTGGTTTATTCCTGGTGTGCAAAGGAAGGTGTTTTAGGTGAGAGGAAAAGTTACAAGTACCGGAAAGCAACCGTTCTAATGGCAAGCAAATTGCCCCTTAGCCTCGCTAGGGCTGCATTGACAGTTGCAGCTTCCTCAAAGTACAGGAAACCGTGTCTCTGGGGAGTCACCAGCAGAAAGGCCTCTGTACCCCTTGCCTGATTCATTGCCAGGACTGCTTCAGACAAAGATAAAAGAGCGTTTCAGTAGTCTGAAATCTGTTGAAGTGAGTCCAAGGCAGCCTTGCACAGCTGCATCCGAAGATGAGGCCTGACATGCTTTATCTGTCTCCATCCAGGAAGCTCACTGACCTCTTTTGGAACAGAAACATCAGCCAACGCTGGTTTGTCACAGAGCAATGCTGTCGGCTCCACTTTTGCAACGGATGCAAGATCGCTAAAAACACAGCTCTCCCAAGGTAAAAGGCTGGCGGTATCAGATTCTAGACTGCAGCCTGGGTGAGCAGAGCAGACGGGTAGACAACAACCAGCTCCTCCAGAACACTGATGTAGCCAGTTGTCCTTTTTGGCTTTGTTACAGGTCGCTCAAGTTCTCCGTTAGACCATTTGAGAAAGAGCCCGACCCTGGAACAGGCCGTGCAGACGGCATCAACCCACTCATCTGCATCAGCACCGATTGGGAGGAGGAGTCCCGTTGCAGCCAGGCCCGTGGGGCCTGCAAACCCAAAGTCCATAGAAAATCAGGAGCACAGGAGAGGTAGAATGTGGCCTTTGCGCCTCTGTTGGTCTCTGTGCTGCAAGCTTTTCCCTTTTCTCTGGGGTTTGTGAAGCTGTGTTAAAGGTTGGTTGTGGCGATATTTACAGCATCACAGCAGGAAGAGGGCTTCTTGGGTTGCAAAGAGAACACCCGAGCCTGCTGTCCTGGGTCTGTCCTTTTCTCCGCCCTCACCTCAGGGGCACACGCAGGACCAGCTGGAATGGCAGCCCTGTGAGGGGACCCTCAGAAGCTCTTGCTCCCAGGCAGCTGGCCATGTTGCTTGCGCTGCTTTGCAAGCACGTGCTTCTTGCTGCAGCAGTTGTATTTTACACACGCTGTGGACTTGCCTTTTCTCAGAGGAGGATACCCAGCATCCCGCATTGCGATGTGGTGGTGAGAATGTTGGGGTGGGGAGCTGGGAGACCCGGGTTCGAGTCCCCGCTCAGCCATGGAGCTCCCTGGGTGACTTTGGGCCAGCCACGGATGCGCAGCCTAACTTGCCTCACAGGGTCGTTGTAGTGAGGGTAAAAACAGAACGGAGGAGAACTATGTGAGCCACCTCTGGTTCCTTGCAAGTGGGGGAAAAGGGCGGGTAGAGATGCAATGTTGCAATAAAAATAATTGCTGGTTAATGTCTAAAAGAAGACAATATGTTTACTTTCTTCATTCCTAGCTGAAGCACACAAGGTTTCAAGATGTGAAGCAGAGCATCTCAGAAACGAAAACAAACGTCAAATGGGTAACTTGAATCTTTTTTTGGAGGAAAAACAAGCAGTGCTTCAGTTTGCACCTGCCACTTAAAAAGAGCAAGGCTGAGGAAATATTAGAAAAGTTCTTCCCATCTTTCCACCTGGATGTGGTCATTCATTATTTACTTGTGATGTATATCTGTACCTCTGTAATTAAAGCTTCTCAGGGCAGCCCATGCAATAAAACAGGTTAACAGAGCAGCGAACAGTACTTCAAGGATATTGGAAATTTTAAACCACAGGTGTACAAACAGAAATCTAAATGCTTGAGAGAAGCGAATGTTACCTACCCTCAAGGGGAGAAGAGTGAGCATTTAGCACTCTTCGGGAAGGGCATACCATAAATGGGGTGCCACAGCTGAGAAGTCTGGAAGAAGTGCCTGGAGGAGGGCCCCCAGAAATGACCCAAAGGAGACATCCCATTCCCGACCCTAAGCTCTTTAGGCTTTAAAGATCAGCACCAAAACAGTAAACTGAGCCGACTCATTAACTCAAGGCTAGTGCAACGGGTAAGAGTTGGCATTACACAGTCGTATTTACCAGGCCCATTTAGTCACCCAAAAATCTGTTTTGAGCTAAGTTAACTTTCCAAACAAACTTCAGAGGTAATTCATGTGCACCACGTGCCACTAAAAAATAGCTCTCCTAGCCCCCCAGGGCACACATGCCCCACATTGTAGGGGCATCCCCAAATTGCATGCCTGCTCATTCAGAAGAAGTGCAGCCTGCTTGTGAATACAATTGCATGTTTCTTTTTTTTTAATAAATTTTATTACTTTTTTCTACAATCTAACATGAAAAACAACAGTTATTTAAGACAGCAGATACACTGGGTTGGCATCTTCCGCATTTTAACAGTCAGTAGCCATATTCAAATCTATGCATAGTCCCGTTTCTCTAACTGATAATAAAGAGTTCCAAGTTTGGTAGAGATATGCGTCCTCCTTCTCCTTCAGAGACAAGGTCAATCTGTCCCTTTCTGTGCAATCCAAAATCCTCTTTAACTCTCCAGTGCGTGGCTCTTCACTCCTCCAGTAATGAGCAGATAGGATCCTTGCCACAGTAATTACATGTAAGATCCAATACATAGCTTATTTATCAAAATCATTAAGAATAATATCTAATAACAAAAAAGAGAAAAGTCTTCAGGTTTAAATTTGTGTTTACATTTCCAACATCCATCTGACATATTTGAGAACATTTTCGCTAATCTATTTAGCTATAAAAACTATAAAACATTTACATCTATCTAACTAACTATAAAACATTTATATAGGTTTTCTTTATATGAAGTTGCTAAGGTTACCTTAATATTTCTTTCCCAGAGCTTTTGCCGTTTCTGCAACTCAATGTTATATCCAGCATTTTATGCCCATATTATCATAATTTCCTTAACTCATTCATCTTTCATTTTTATGCCCAAAAGAAAGTTATACAATCCTTTAATCATTCTTTCATCTGATTTTAAAATCATTTAACCAAATGTTGCTAATTCCTTTATACAATCATATATTCTATAGTCTTCACATATCTTGATCGTATTTGAACCCCGTGCCACCAAGAAACGTCAGTACCCTTACCACATATAAGCATGCCATCCCATTTGTAAATCATGCCCTTCAAGATATAAGATTCCCTTAGCATTATCCATTCTCCCTCAGAAATTTATGACTTCTAACATAGCTTAAGTTGACTCTATAAACCAGGTCAAGCTGTTTATCAGTCTCTTCCTGTTCCAGAGCAGGAGCATCTGCTAGCATAATGTTTATTAAACCACTTAGGTTTTCATTTTTTGCTTCTGGTTTATTCTGAAATCTCTCCAATATAGCAACTGAATCCCATAATGACTTATTTGTTTGTATTAGATGTTGCCTCTCTTGATCCATCTTTTCAATTTTCTTATCAGAATCATCAACTTTCTTTTTCACTTCTTGTATCTTTTGTTCATTTTGTTTTATTTTAATACAGGAACCTGCAAGTTGATTCATTATCTTCAAGACATGACTATCCAATTTATCCAGCCTTTCCTTTTGTTCCAAAGCAAATTCTTGTATAGCATTTTGCATAGAATCTTGAGATGCTTGCATAGATGTTAGAGATGCTTGTATTGCCAAAAGTGTCTTTTTTTGTAGGTCTTTTTGGGATTTTCCCAAATCCACAGTTTTTAACTGACGTGTTGGGCTTTGGGAAGCAGACATAGGTACCAGAGATGATGGGTGAATTTTTTCCATGATGAAAGTGAAAAGTTTAATTGAAGCAATTTTTAAATAACCTGTTGTGGTACTAAATGGCCACTAAATAGCAGCAAAAAATCACAAAGAGAGGGAAAAAAAGATTTTTTTATTTTTTTATTTTTTTGGCAAACAATGTATCTGTTAAAGGATAAAATGACCACAGGGTGGCAGCAAAAGGTTATTTGTCAAATTGCCATGTCGTCTCCAAAAGAGATACAGAAACGAAACAGAAAGAGAACTTTTTCTACCAATTAATATACAATAAGTTCAAATTTAATGCTTCGCCCTTGGGGAGATTAAACATTAAAAAAAAATCTCTTCCAAGTCTCAAATTTCCCCAGTTTCACTTAATCTCCCCTAGATTTGTCGCTGCTTGAACTCCACAGGGAGGAGTTTCCTCCCTTCGTCAAGAGGGCCTTTCTTTTGTTACTCAGATTGATAGTTATTTCACAGGTTCTTTCACGGGCAGTATTTTGAAGGATTTGAATGCTCACCCAGCAGGTCCGATGCCCACTTTTAAGTTTTTTTCTTCGCTACTAATCCGGTGCCAGCAGCTTGTGAGGGGGGGGGGTGCACCCCTTTCTCTCCGTTCACTGAGAATTTCCCCGAATTTTTCCAGGCGGATGGGGGACCGCCGCCCCCCACCAGGCAGAAGTGTGCTCGGGCGTTTAATCCCTGCCCGGACAGGGCTTGGATGGGCCTCCCAGGGCCCTCTGTAGAACGGATTTCGATGTGAAGTACGGGATCCCCATTCTCCACAGCCGTCTCGCCGTGACATCAACCGAAAGTCACAATGAGCATGTTTCAACTGGGCAGACAAACCACCCACTCACGGTTTCTCCATCTTGATTTGAACAAACCAGCATCAGACTGTAGTTCCAGTTTTGAACAAACTAGATATGCCTTTATTCAGACCTAATGAGAAACTGCAGTTGTTGGTTGCTTTAAATATTTTTCTTTCGTACAGCGTTGCAGGGAGAAGGTTGAGCGTGTGGCACCAGGCTGAGCAAGTAGGATGGTTGTCCTGGTAGGGCTGCTTAGTGTCTTTCTAAATCAGCTTGAGGTAAAAGGACAGAATTTAGTTCTGTGGAACTTGCTGCTACCGGTTTTTGTAGCCTATTGCAGGGTTAGATAGGTAACATGAGCCTATAAGGTTGTTTGGCAGAAAGGGTAATATTGGGAGATGTTACTGGGTAACACGAGGCCGCACGGGCCACATCTTTAGGTGCATTTATTTGGCATATTCCTGGCTGGCAGATCCAGAGCAGGTGGCACATGGTAACTACTTATAAGAAAAACATAACCTGAGGTTGCAGGTACCTCACTGTAGGTCTCTTCAGTTGCAGGTGCGCCTTTGGTACGAAGGGGCCGTGGAGGTCACCGGGGAGGCAGAGGAAGATTTGGTATTCGACGGGATGTTCCAATGAAGTTTGAGAAAGACTTCGACTTTGAAAGTGCAAATGCTCAATTCAATAAAGAAGAAATAGATCGCGAATTTCATAATAAGCTGAAGCTGAAAGGCAAGCAAGTTTTTCCTCAGGATGGGGGCCATCTTGTTGACTGTATATGGATGCAACCCTTTTAGAAGTTAGAAGTAGATTTGCAAATAGCTAACAGAAGTGGGGTGTTGATGGGAAACCAATAGCTTCTCTCCCAAACTTTTTGATCAGAGATCTAAAGCATATGAAGTAGAAATGCATATATTAGCACAGAGTGGTGAGGAGTCTTATCAAGGTTTGGAACAGTGGGCTGCATTTGCAGGGAAGGGCAAACTACAGTTCTAAAGAACCCTGGCTTAATATTCTGTGCAAAGCCACTTCTTCCTGTTTGGACAAGCCCTCTTATTTTTCTAGAGGTCTAGTTGGGAGGAAAATGCTGGAGGAAGAGGGTGTGTCTTGGCAAGCTATTTTGGCGTGTATTAACTAGCATCACTCTTTGTTTTAAGGTGGCAGTGTACACAAATGGCATTGTTGCCATTTTAGCATTTTCTGTGTTTCCCTAAACTGTTCACAGAGGTTACCCTCTTTTTTCCTCCTTTTCTACTTCCCACTTTCACTAGAAGATAAACCAGAGAAGCCTGTAAATGGAGAGGACAAAGGTGATTCAGGTGTTGATACCCAAAACAGTGAAGGCAACGCAGATGAGGATGACCCCCTTGGACCGAACTGTTACTATGACAAAACCAAGTCCTTCTTCGACAACATTTCCTGTGATGACAACAGGTACCAGAATAATTTAGGTATCTTGCATATAGATGGATAAAATCACCGGCGAAGACCATGACTGCTGAAATGCAGAATAAAATCCTGTTTTGCCCTTGTGCTCATACAGTAGTGATGCTGCTAGAAAAAAGTGCTTTATTTTGTTACTGCATTTCTGTGGTCATTAGACACATTGACCATGAAAAGCAAGATCGTCTTGCAAGCAATGATTCGCTGGAGGTGTGTTTTAAAAAATTAAAGCTGTTGTACACATTCCAAAAGCGAAAGCGCTGCAGGACCTGTGGCCTTCCATGTTTGTACTGATTTGTGGGGACTTCCAAAAATCTTGTCCTCATCTTGTCACCATTCCAATTTAAGGCACTGGACATGTTTCCTTTGTACACAGCTGTTTCCCCATTCTCTTGGGATTGAATCCAAGTCTAGTCATACCTAAAGTTAGACCAGTTGAAATCCGTGGCACTTCAGTCCTGCCTCGGTAACCAAAAGTGTAATTTAACAACAGGAATCCACTTGGTCATATTCCAGAGGCCTAAACAGTTAGAGAAAGCCGAGAAGGAGAGCAGAGAGAATGGGCAAGTTTTATTTTGTTGGGCTGATATTCCTCGGTTATTCACAAGCTTTGGACCAGCTTGCATATAAAATGTCAGAATTGTCAGCAGCACGAAGAACCTCAGCTTTGGTGTGTTTCTTACCTGGGGTTACCTGTCCCAGCTTATAGCTGAGCGTGCCGAGATCAAACGGAGGAACATCTGGGCGCTGCAGGAACAGGTGCGTGCTGCTTCTGTGCCAATCCCTCACAGACTCCTGAATCTGGGCACAGTTCACACCCGCTTTTGGTCCACAATGGCGCAGGCCAGTCCTACGCAAGGGAGCACATCCTTCTTCCTGGACACACATGCGTGTGCATCATGTCCCATTCCAGTTTCTGAGTGAGCCCTTCAGCCAGAACATGCTGCACACTTCATGCTCACTTCGATGTCTCCGACGCATTGCAAGAGGATTCTGTGGCAGGACACAGAAATAAACTCAGCCAGGGTTTCAACCTTATGTCCTTGCATCCATCTCTGTGTGCATTTGCATCAATAATTTGATGCTGTGAACATGTACTCTTAGCAGTAGCTGCTTGCGTGGATCAACTCCTCTTAACAGAGAAGCCCTTCACATGCAGATAGGTGGTTTGGTTAGTCCAGGAAGTCCACTTGTTCTGATCTGAAGCTCTGCTTTCCTGGTCTAGCCATAACTGCCACAGAATTGGAAGCTCTGCCCCCCAGAGCCATCTCATTGGCAGAATGAGGGAGTTTGTGATCCCACGTCCTTAGCAGTGCACCTTCTGATGCAACTGCCAGGAAAGTGACACAAGTGTCTTGTCATGTCTGTTTCAGAGACCGACGACCAACCTGGGCAGAGGAGAGAAGACTCAATGCAGAGACGTTTGGCATCCCCCTGCGCCCAAACCGTGGCAGGGGAGGCTTCAGAGGCAGGGGGGGAGGTGGAGGAGTCAGCAACTTCCGAGGTGGTCGAGGGCGTGGAGGCACAAGAGGAAGTTTTGCTGCCCCTCGAGGATTTCGTGGCGGATTCCGAGGCGGACGTGGTGGGAGGGAGTTTGCGGACTTCGAGTACAGGGTAATGCACACTTACAGCTTTTCTTGCAATAGCCATAGGTTGCTGCAGTCCAGGAGCACAGAAGTACAGATACCAGCTGTGCCCCCCAGAGGACTAAAACAAAACAAGTCCACACAATTTGGCTTTAAAGCTGTGGAAATCTTGAAGTTGTAAACATATTGAATGCCAAATGAGGCTCAGATTAACTGGGGCCATAGTTGCGGGATTGCCCTGCAGCTCCCCGTGGCTGCAGACTGATTTTCACTCTGCCTAGAATATAGGAAGATGCTATTTGTCACATGTGTGTGTTCGTTCCTTAAGGTACCACGACGTTCCCAACCCAGGGGCCATGTAACTTATTTTCTGAATAGACTGCACAGTCAAAACTTGGATCCCCAGCTGTCCAATATTAGTGCTAATTCTCCTAGCTTCCATTTCTTTCTGTTCTCTCTTAAGAGCTGCAGAGAATAATTCAGCAGCTCCCTTCTGTCTGCATGGCCCAAATGGTTCAGTCGTTAAAATAAGATTTTTAAAAATGATTACAGGCTAGAAAGGAGATACTTAAAGATGGAAAAATCTTCTTTTAAAGGAGAAACAGTATTGGCGGAAGTTCTTGCTCTCTTAATTTCTGCCCCGTCTCATTTTGGAAAACCTGGAATTACAGTTAGTTGATGAAAGAACTGAAGGAGAGAATTGGATGTAATTACTGTAAGCCACATGGAAAGGGATTTAACATGAATTAAAGACGGCCCCTTCAGCCTTTCCCATGTACTCCAATCCTACTGTGATACAGCATGGTATTACTTGTACCGTATGACTATATTAGCCTGTTGTGACGCATATGTCTCATGGGCTTTGGCTGGAGCAACGAAACTCATTGATTTAAACATTCAGCTCACGCATTTATGATGGGTGCACTCCAGAGTAAATGGACACTGCATGAAGTCCAGCGGACAGAGCCTGCTATGCTCTTGATTAGTTTTATGTCAGACTAGTTTGGACAGGAACGGTGCTGATGTTGCGGGTGCCTTTTGTTTCCACAGAAAGACAACAAAGTGGCTGCATAGGCTGCAAAGACATTCAAAGCAGGTGGACTTGGAGATCTTCATCGTACAGAGAATGTGTTGGTCTTCACAAAGAATTGCGTTAATTTGCTGTAAAACTTGTCACCAGCACTGGGGTTTCCTTTTAATTTCAAAGGGGTATGGAGCAGTAACCTTTTTGAAAAACAAATGGCCATCTTCAGAAACAATGAGCATTAAATATATTTGAGATAGAAGACTTAAGTAATTTCTTACAAATAGTTAAAATATAAAGCAGTACTTCAATGGAATTTTAAGTATTTTTTTCATCACGGAAAGGATTTTTCTTAACTGAAAGTGTATTTGATAATTGCTGCAGGCTGCAAAGACAATTGTATGCAGGAGGCCGTCAGTACTGTGAGTGTGTTGATCCAGTAAGAGGTTGTTTTTGGAAATCTCCCTTTTGAGATAGCTGTACTTTTTGTCAGATTGGGTGCTGAGCAGTAGAAGACTTGATTTGTCAGTCAGAAAAAAATGTAAACACAGTACATCCTGTTTCTTGGGCAACAGAAAACTTTTTATAGTTGTAAAATTCCATGATTATCCCATTGCCAAAGAAACACCAGGGACTTTGTATAGATGTATAAAAAGCAACTAATTTTTTAAGAATAAACATTTTTAGGTCTACAAACCTGCTGTGTTGAATGCTAAACAAACACACAAGTTAGTTGGTTGGGTTTTCTTTTCCTTTGTAGCTTTCCAGCTTTAAACTTGTTTGATTTTTATATTTTGACAATAAGCAAACGTTTGAAATGTTCTTCCATTATACAAAGTGATCCAATTATTCTCTTGTGAGAAATTCATTTTGTAGGTTTTGGCATATTGTAGAATTTGTCCTGATTAAGGGGATTTTTCAAGTAAAAACAAACCTTGACACTTCATGGCACAATTTACAGTGCATCTTAGGGGTAACTCATAAAGTGAAAAGGAGCCAGGCACATGAGTCTTTTTGTTCCCTTTGATGTGCTCAGAAGTTAAAAAAAAGTCTCCATGTTTCAATTCCTAAAATGTTGACTTTGTTTTAATATTGTTGACATAATTCAATTAAAAGTGATTTCTTAGTGTTTGCAGTTGCTTAACTTTTGATGGACTGTGGCTTGGAGACATCGACTGCTCATTCTTAAACCAATATCCCAACAGTGATTTGGTATGGAGTAAACTTTGTCCATCTTGAGTTGCTAGTTACAACTTCTTTTGATATTAAGTTATAATTAGAAACAATAGTCTGCTAATTTGTATTTTGTATGTGTATATGAAAGCCACAGGAATAAAGGGATCCAAAGATTAAAACATTTTTATCTAATTTGCTGATCTTTTTTTTCCTCGTTCATGTTCAGTAGCGATAAAATGCGGATAACTGCACTGTTAGAAAATGGGAATATTTAAGTGATAGAACCATAATTTTATATCTTTTGTATAGCACTATAAGGAAGTATTTTGTAATTGGTTTCCTTATGAGGTCAAGTATTTGGCAGCCGTAGAAGTAAGATACTCTTGTTTAGTACTATTTTGCATGTTAACAACAAGGCCTTTTGGGGATCCAGAAATCATGATACTGAACAGTTTTGAGGGGATTTTTTAAGACAAAGGGCAAGTGTTGTGCCGTTGCAATAACTGTGTATCCTGTATGAGATGACCCAAGTTTATTTAAACCAGATGAATTGTAAATACCCATGCAACATGCTGCGAAGGTATGAATTGGTTCCAATTTACCCACCAGTCCTTTGGGTGTTGTACTTGTTGGGGTGTGTTGTGCCCCAGTAAACAGCAGTGTGACATACCTCCAGTGCTACAGAAAAGCAGGGCGTTTATTTTAAGCCAGAATAAAACCATTCAATTAAAAGAGACTTTGTCGATGTTTTTTTCCTAGCCCTTCCATGTCACAACCTGCCTGACTGTGTGTTGGGATGGGAGGAGGCACCTGGGCTGCCCTCTTACTTGGAGACCCTTGTGGGCCAGCTGATTTTTAAAAAGCGTCCGATATCATATTTATATCCTGCCTTTTTGTCCTTTCCGGGAGCTCAAGGCGGCTTATAATAATGGTTTAACATGATTGCGCTCCGTCCATGTAGCTCATTCTGCCATGCGTGTAGACCAGGCCTATGGATGAGTTCTTGCTTTCAGTGTGTACTTTGCTGTTAAGTGCGATGGTTGTTCATGTGGAGAAAAGAATAGAGAGCAGGAGTAGATTGGATGTGTGGTCACAATTGCAAGCCCATCCAAAAACAGGCAGAAGCCACTGGGGGTGTGTTGGGGGGGTGGCTTTTGGCTCTTCAGTAGATATTGTGAAACTGAAGCATGTTCAAAGGTGGTTTGAACAATTGGAGGGGGTGGATGGGCTTTAAAATGACAGAATATAATCCACACTAGACAGAACAGACCTTGAGGTTTTCTGCTCTCCTATGGGCCTCATCCACCCACCCACACGGACAACACTCACACAGGACGTAAATACCATGAGGGCAGAGGTGCTTTTGGGTGTGATGCACAAGCTTGCTTCAGCTTGGAAAGAAAGCGTACAATGAGACTGAACTTTGGATTTTAAATTCCTAGTTTTACATTCTTGGCAATGTGTGTGGCGCACTGCTTTTTGTGACTGGGCAGGCATGTCCTTGCATGAGTGCTTTACACAAAATGAGCTTTCCCAAGTTAACTTCCTTCCCACTTTCAAAACTGGTCAGACTGGCAGCTGATTGGGTGTTGGGACATCATCGCTCGGCTGCCTCCTAGAAAGGAATCGCCACTGGCTGCGACCCCTGTCCCCTTTGGATCATTTTCCTAGGCAGGCCACATTGCGCTCTTGCCATCCTGCCGCTGCAGCTCCAGCCGTGCAAATACCGTCAAGTCAATTCCGGTTTGACATACTTTCACAGGCAAAATTAACTTTATGGGGTGGATTTAAGGAACCTTTTGGTCAAGCCTTGTGGTGTAACCTACCAATAGATGCATAGGTGGGTATTTGGAATAAGTATGCAAAATTATTTTGAATGACAATATGTTCCGTTGCAGACTAATACTTAGGACATCTATGTAACCAGTGCTATGGATCAGCTTCTTCGGTAAGCAGCAGCCCAGTTAACTCCAGCCATGTTTGTGAAATATCACAAGCTGTTGCATCCATGCCAAAGCAGAGCCGAGGAGAGTTTGGCAGATGACGATGCTTCTAATGCAGGCCAGCATCCACCAGGGCCCGACACCCAGAATGGTGCCTTCCCTTGCAGCCACCCAGAGGCCCTAGAGAGAAGGCAAGTGATGGCCACGGAAGCGGCCATTCTTTTTTTTAAAAAGAAGGGAAGTCTGTGATGATTTCATTTTCAGTGCCCTGGGTGGGTCACAGGCTGGCATGCATGGGTACAATAAGGACCGATGCAACCAAAAACCAGGAATAGCATAAAGTACAAAACTGGAAATGCCTCAGACAACTGTGACCGTCTCAGCTAGCAGGCATGGCCAATCATTTGCAGACGGCAGCCTTAACCTGGCGCCAAAAAGCCGTCCCGAGGCTTTGTTGCGGTGGGGGCGGCATAAAAATGTTTTAAATAAATAAATAAATAGGCTCTGATGGCGCCAGGTGGGGGGGTGTCTTCCACAATGGGGGCCACCACTGGTAAGTTGCTGCTGCTCATTGCTTCCTCTGCGGGTGGCAGTCGGAGGAGGGCCTCGCACGTGTTTGCCTAGCCGCGGGGGCGCCCCTCTGCCCCCTGAAGGGCGACTCCCATCATCCCCAGCCCGCGCGAGCCACGCTGGAAGGAACCGTGGAAGAGAAGCGGGCAGCCTGCCCGCGCTCCTGCTTCAGCCGCGGGCAAGCGGGAGCGCCCGATGCCGAGCACACCTTCCCCGCGCTGCGGATGATGGGACTGGAGCGGACGCGCCGCGGGGGAGGCCGCCCTTCCACGCCCCTCCAGGCGGGCCTGCCCAGGCGCGCCTCCCGTCCGGCCCGCCGCGGTCCAGCGGGGCGGGCTCCGCGCGCAGGAAGTTTGGCTCGCCTCGGCCGCCGTGCCACGTGGCCCGTGACGCAGGCAGCTCTCGCTTCCGCGTCGGCCGCGCACGCGCGATGGCTGCCCCCGCCGCAGCCGCCGGGCCCGCGGTGCTGCTGGGGTTGCGCGATGCCGCCGTCCCGCGAGGCTCCGGGCCCGCCGGCCCGCCGCTGCACGGCGCCGCCAGCAAGCTGGGCGGCTCTCCGGTGAGCGCCCCAGGCGCCCGCGGGGCACGGCGCGGCTGCCCCTGCCCTGCCCCTGCCCCGGCGCGGGCGGCGCGCGTCCCGGGCCTGGCCCCCGGGGCGGCGGGCGTTTCCCGCCTGAACCCGCCAGGCCGCGGCTCGCCGCCCACTCCCGCTTGGTCCCGCCGGAGCCGGGGGCGGCCGGGCCCGGCCAGCGCATTCCCAGCGCTCCGCTTCCCTGGAGGGGGCGAGGCGGGGCCCCGATCCAGCCCGGTTTCCTCTTGCCGTGCGCAGCCCGGTGCCCTCAGGGCCAGCATCCCGCTGCGCACTAGCAGACTCACGGGATGACTGGCTTGTCCCGATGCTTATTCATACTTGGGAGTAGACCCACTGACATCCACAGGACTTGAACTACTGCATACCCTTTATTGGCAACACCAAGGGAACGTCACCTTCTGCATTTTTTCCGTTTGGCCCTAGGACCGCATCCCGTCGGTAGTGCTGGTCCATCCCGCCTGTGGCATTTGTGGGGCCAGCTTGGTGCACATTGTACAAGTCTACTGCCCGCTGGAGGGTTCCCCTTTCCACCGCATCATTAACGTCTTTGCTTGCGCCAAGGAAAGCTGCTGGGGGAACATGGAAAGGTGTGTGGCAGTTTATTTGTCTCTTCTCCAAGATCAGGAGCAGCACTTGCCTTGTGCAGCAGGTGGAGCCTGGGCGACACATAGATTAAGCAGTGATAAATGAATACGCCTTAGCTCATATTTCAGGTTCAGCATCATCCTCTAGTTCCTAAGTACGGATTGGAGAATTCTCAATGTGCTCACTTCTCCATCCTTTCCCAGGTCCCGAGTGGAACAAGAACAGCCCATCCTATGTACAGGAGCACCTATTTTTTGGCAGGAGCATGTGCAGACTTCTTGGTTGCACTAAGGACAGTTAGGTCCACACTTAAAACACGGAGGACGTTGCTGCAAAGGACTTGAGGTACTCTGTGCCCCCCTTTGCAAGCAAAAGGTTTCTCACTGCTTTGCGGTCAAGTGGAAGCAAAGCAATGTCTTTGGCACCTGGGCTTATTTGTGCCCATGCAGCGTTCCTGGTTTGATAGCACTCCCTTCCTAGGACTTTGAGCAGGTAAGATGCAAATTTCAGGTAGCTGGCATGGTGCACTTGCCCCACTCCAAACTACCAGCCAACACATTAATTAAAAGAGCAAACTCTGCACATTTCCGGTGCATTTCCCCCCACCAAAAAACAAAAACCAGAGGGGGTGGACGAATGAGAACTCCCCCACTTGTGCCTCTTGGGCACTTGGGTGCCGCTGTCGCTTTGGAGAGCACAAAATTGATCTCTGGGAAAAAAAGATAAAAGCAGGAGAAAGCTGCTATGAGTGTAAAAGGGGTCAATGCTGCCACAGGGAGAAGAGAGAAGGCAAGCTCTGCCGCACAGGTTTCTGGGATACTTGCAGGAAGACTGAGCAATAAGAAGAGGGGTTCAACCCATGGTGAGCCCCACTGTCTGTGGGATGCACTGCAGATGCTCCACAAATAACTCACACTGTGTAGCTTACATACTAGATGAGTTATCACGTCATGCAAACTCGGCCCCTGAATTTGTTACAGAAGGGAGGTGCAAGTCATTCATCTCTTTAGTTGCTATGCTGTCATGTTAAGTAAAAACACTCAGAAACTAAATGTCTGCTTGCAAACAATAATTAGCTTTCTTATGTGCTTTTTGGGGATCCTGCATTTCTGAAGCTGGAAGGCATTACGAACCCAGTATTTGCAAGTACAAAGAAAAGGACAACAAGACTGGAACTTGGAGCAGGTACTGTTCTCATAAAGCACCCACAATGTGGCCAAGCGTGAGCCATTCCATTTCTGTGGAATGGTTGGCCTATCAGCCAACACTGGATGATCTTCTGGGGACTCCTCCTAGAACCAGGTCACTGAAGCAGGTAGTTTGAGTAGTAAGGACCAACGGGTGTCATGGTATTTTGGGCATCCATGGAATGCCTGGCGGCATGTGCAAACACACAGCTAGCCGGGGACAGGCCTCAGCAGGAGGAGAAAAAGCAAATCCGGGTTTGGTCTTCTTAGTTGCAAAATTCAACAAATCCCAAAAACGGTACAGCTTGCTGTGTGGACGTAGATTTCAGCGGCAAGACCAACGTTGCTTGCAACAAGAAGGTGCTTGCCTGATGCTGGGAGGAAGTCTGGTTCTGAGTATATTCATGAGCATGTTAAAACTGCTTTGAAAATGTGGCATCTTAAAAGATTTACACATCTGTTCTGGTGTAAATGGCCACAGACATCAGTTCACAAAAGCCGATGCTGTTAAATGTATTCATCTTTGCATTGCTGCACTCCTCTCCATTTCAGCTGCCAAAAGCAGGCTGTTCCCTGCCCATTGCCCATCCAGGCACTGAATGGACTGTATTGGCACCCCTCAGAGCAGGCCTGAGTGGCCACATATCGGGGCTGGGTCTTGAGAGAGCGCCCTGCCTGAAGCCCTGGAGGGCTGCAGTCTGTCAGGGGAGGACAGACTTCCCCGGCCTGGTGCCCTCCCAGAATCCAGCTGCAGTCCCGTGCGTGTGGGGGGCACCAGGTTGGGAAAGGCTACTGAGGGCAGTACTGAGCTAGATGGACTCCTGTGTCCCTGTGTTGTATTGCTAGAAGGAAGAATGTATTCCTGCAGCCAAGGGCTGGTGTGAAGAAGCAGATGACTGGGGGGAAGACAGTGGAGTAGTGCCCCCTGGACTGGCTCCGAGCCGCAGCCACCTTGACCCGCTGCCAGCAACAGACCCCTTGCCTGGAGAGGAAGATTGTGCAGCCCAGTTCCAAGGTCTACGCCTCGGAAAAGCCCCACATGCCTCGGCTCCCTCCAGCTCCCGCGATCCCACTGGGAAGGAGCTGGTAGCGTCCAGCTGTGTCCCCGTCTTCCGGTCCTACTTCATCGCCGTAGTGGACGAGGAAGACTACCTTGGCTGTGAGGACACGGGCCATGTGCAAAGACTCTTAATGGAGTATCAGAAGCGGGAGGGTGTTGACTTGGAACAAATTGTGTTGGAAAGGTGAGACATACGGTGGAGCCAAGATGGGGCAGTCCTGTGTACCGGGCCAAAACTGGAGCCGCAGGCGTGAGGAGTTCTTGCACAGTGGGAGAGGCTCTGCTGGTGGTCCTTCTCTGTCCGTTTTCCCAATTCTCGGGAAAGCCTGCATTCTGAATATGATGCCAACACTTTGAGCTAAGAAAGTTTTTTTCCATCTTCCAGTTTTTAGTCCCATGCAAAGTGGCTTTTGTGTGAATGCAGTAATCATACTGATTATGAGGACATTCACTGCTTTGAACAATCCAGTTGTTTTCTTTAACCTGATTATTTTCTTGAAATTTAATGGTTCAAATGCCCCCATTAAAACAATTTTGAACAAACATCACTAGATCTAAAAATTGTTAGATGCTCGCTTGTTCCTGTCAAGTTTTGTCCTCTTGATTACTAAATGAGCTAGTTGGACTCCTCCTTCCATCCATGGTTCCGTTTTCTAACCATAATCAATAGAATACAGATTTGAAATATACCAACTTTGGGTGGCCATACGTCTGACATCAGAATGAGTTGTGCCGATTGCTTTGATCCCTTGGAATAGGGAAAATGATCCTTGCCACCGGGAGTAAGAGCTTCTGGTCCCTGCTGGTCAGTTGGCACGTTTGGGAGAAAGGCAACCCATGATTGGGCTGTTAGCTTCGGCTGTTGCACAGTACAGAAATTGACCAAGAAAGAAAAACCTTCCCAACCGGGTGTCCTCCAAGATAACAATACCCATGAGCCTCAGCCAGCCGGACCATTAAATTCAGGTGTGCCTCAATATTGGGACATCGGATGAACAAATACCAACAGTTTTTCTTCATCATCTGTGAAGCAGAAATTATTTCCAGGTATATGTTGTCATTTTGCGATAGTACAATAACTAATTGGGCAAAATGTTCCTGTGTGCAGTTCTGCATCTGATGAGAGGTATGAGAAGAGCAAAGCCGGAAAGAGAGACCCGGTGTTCCACAAGTTTATGAAGAGGATTTCGGCCTGTCAGAAGCAGATCTTGAGGTAGGCCGGAGCATCTTTTAGGGGCAGGGATTACATCGGTTTTTCCTCCAAGTGCTCTCGCCAGCCATCAGGGCTGCCGTGTTTGGGCCTTGCTGAAGCCCATCAGGAAGATGGGCGATGGGCCCAGTGCAGGACTACTTTGCCACACGAGCTGCAGCCCCTGGCGCAGGGGAGCTGGGCCCTAGGCCACCCTGAGAGAGGAACACTAGGGCGCCAGCCACGCCCAAAGGCTCCATTAAGATTTGGCCAGATTTAATCAGGAACAGTGGCCAGATCTTCCAGCAGGAAGCTAGGAGCATGAAAACGCTGATGGTCACTTCTGGAAGAAGTACGGGACGAGGCTTTGGCGACTCCTTGGGGGACCAGAATACCAAACATTAGAGACTGCAGATGGGAGGGGGGTTGGCAAAAAGAGGCAAGGCAAAGGCCGGCCTGCGGAGCTGAGGTTCCGCTCTGCCCTGCCCTGCCCTGCCCTGCCCTGCCCTGCGGGGGGTTCAGCCCGAGCGAGCGGCGTGATCTCCAGGTCTCTCGCCCTCAGAGGCAGTTGCTTTGCACACGGGCACACAAGTGCCGAAGCACTACCCTTGGTGGGACACCACACCCCTGAAGTGCGCTGTGTCCATGAGAAAACAAAGCATCTGGGAGGGGCTTTCCCACCCGCTGGCCCCATAGAACCTCAGTCGGCCTGCCCCAGTCGCGAGGGTTGGAGTGCTCACAGCTGACCGGTGAGGTGGGCCTGCACTACCTCTCAGAATCTTCCACACCTCTGTGTGCACGCATGCGGGGGGGGGGCATTGTGGTGAGGGGCAGCTTTGTCTCGTGTGCTCAGTGTTGACAAAGACAACTGTCAGGCGTTTCGGCCTTTAGGTATTCGTGGGGCGGCCACCCTCTGTTCATCAGCAGCCCTGCAGTGGATGCCAAGGCAGCGGTCCCTCCCTGTCACACCTGCGGCAGCAAGAGGACCTTTGAATTCCAGCTCATGCCCTCCTTGGTCAGCATGCTCCGGGCAGGAGCTGAAGGTACGGGACGCTTTCCAAGGCCCGCTTGCAGCTCCTTTTTCTCCACCTGCTTCTCCTTATTTTAAGAAGCTGAAGCGATAAGAAGGCCTTTCATGTCCTGATGTTCTCTGAATAGGTGGGGGGACATTTCGCCCAGAACACGCAGGGGCTGTCCTAAGACCTAGACTGCAGTATTTACCTGGAAGTAAGCACTACTGAACCCAGTGGGTTTACTCCTCACTGACTAGCCTCAGTTGCAGTGAAAGTCGCTTAAATTATTTTTAAGTGCCTTGGAAAGGGTGTTCAGAACCCAGCACAGTCTCTCATAAGCTGTGCGTGCCACTTGGCTGCCATCTTGTCCTTTGGCATGGCAGTCAGACGAAGCTTTCCTGGCACTCCTAGGACAGAGAGGGACACTTCCTGAGCAAGGCCAAGGACATGGTGTGTTCGGATCTTTTCCCCACAAGGGCCGTTGGGGTGATGGAGGGTTCCTCGAGGGCTTCCAAGGGCTCCTCAGATTATCTGCAGCTTAGCTTTAGTACCCATATTGTGAAGCTGTTGTGAAATAGAAACGGGTACCACGTTTGGGACATCTTTTCCTTCCTCCCGCCACCAGATGTGTCAGTGGAATTTGGGACTGCGCTTGTGTACACGTGTGAGAAAAGCTGCTGGCCTGCCGAGCAGAGAACGCCCTTGGAAGAATTTGTTTTTGTGCAGGAAGATCCAGATCAGGACCTGTTTAAATAGCACCCATTTCATTCCTCGAATAAAGCAGATGTTTTGCACGGATGCCTGTGCTGTGATTCCTCCCATTGGCAAGGTCTTTCCAGGCTCCCTCTGAGACCATGTGGACACCTGCATTTGAGTGATTTCAGGCAGGCTTGTTTGCCTGGGCGCTGGTCGTTACGTTCATTTCTGTTGCCTTACGCCAGTACTAGTGATCAAATTGATGGTTGTTTTATCATCCTGTTTCCTTATGAACTGCTTTGAGATTTTGCAACGATGAGAACCAGGATAGAAACGTTTGGAAATGATAAAGCCGTTAGAAGGAAAGAGGGAATCCGAAGGACCAAGAAAAGGCCACATTCCTGTCCTCAGCCAAGTGCCACACCTGGCAGCTGGGGCTCACTGGGGGGGCAGTGGAGGAGGGCTGGCGAGCTGGGCCCGAGAGGCCTGGCCACGGCCACGCGGGTAACCTGCCTGCACCCCCAGGTGCGCCTCCCGTTGCGAGCCGTCCAGCTGGCCCACCGCCCGCCCGCCACGCGTGGCCCTGCAGTCGATCTGGGGCTGGGAGGGGGCCGCCCGGTGGTGCCCATCATCCCCGCCGGGGGCGGGCGCTGCATGGGCCAGAAAGAAAGGGGCCGGCTGCGCAGGTCGCGCGGTGGGGCCGGCCCTGGTGGCCGTCGAGCACGGGGGGCAGGTGTGGCCCCCAAAGCGCGCCATCGCCCGCTGGCGGGGTGCGCGGGGCCCGCGCCGGGGAGACTGTCCGCGCGTGCGCGGCCCTCCCTCCGCGGGGGGCGCTGCCGCGCGCGGGCAGCCGCTCTGGGCCTGCGCGGCCGGCCTCGGTGGCCGGAAGAGGCCGGACTGGGCGCGCATGCGCGGCGCCCGCTCTGCGCGCTGCGGCCCTCCTTTTCCCGCCCGACGCCTCGCCTCGCCTCGCCCGCTCGCCTCGCGCGGCTTCTCCGGCGGCGGCGATGGCGGCGGCGCTGCGCGGGGAGCTGGCCGAGGCCGTGGCTGGCGCGCGGCTGCTGGTGGTGGGCGCCGGCGGGATCGGCTGCGAGCTGCTCAAGGACCTGGTGCTCACCGGCTTCGTCAGCATCGACCTGGTGAGGCGGCGGCGGCCCTCCCCCCCCGCCGCGCGCGCCCCCGCCCGGAGGGCTTGGGCTGCAGGACGCGTCGCCCCCGCCGCCGGCCTTCCCAGTGGCTGCCCCCTGCTCGGGCATCGCTCGGGCTCCCGCGGCCAGCCCCCTCGGGCCGGGAGCCCCGTCCTCCCGGCTGCTCTGGCCGGAAGTCGCGGCGTCCGGGCGGGCCGGGCAGCCCCGCCGGGGAAAGCCCCGTGCCCTGCACCGTGTCCCTCGGGTGGCCTCCGGACGCCGCGCGACAAACGCGCTGCCGAGCTCGGGCGTTGGGGAGCTGAGCGCCCTGCGGGGCTAACGCGAAGCGGGAGGCGGCGGTGCGGTTGCCCCTTCCCGCGCAGCACCCCGGCGTCCCGGCCGCGGGTTCCCTAGGAAGGCTGGAAACCCCCCTTTACGTGCGTCTTTGTGTTCGGGGCTTTCTGACGTGTACTGAAACGCGCCAGATGATCGACAGTGGTGTTGCCGTGCTGCTAATGTAAGGCTTTTGCACCTAGCTCAAGAATGCAGAGGCGAAGTATAGAAAATAGTAAACATCGATAGGACATATCTTGACCCAACGGCACCTAGTGACTACCTTTTGAATATTTGGGAAAGAGCAATAAAGAAAGAGGCAAGAGTTTTGGTGAGCTGTCTCCTGGCCAGCTTGGGAAGCACAGAGGTTGGAGTGAAAGGGCAGAATCGGAAAACTAGGGAAAACTATCGCTGTTTGGAATAAGTGGAACATTTATCAGTTACAGAGGGATAGTGGAATTGTTAATGTTTATCATTATAGTTACCTAAACAAGAAAAAGAGGTGTCAAATTTTAAGGGAGCCATAATAGCTTGTTGATGTTTTAAAACATACCTATAAATATAGCAATATATGCTGCAGTGTTGACAGGTATCGTTAAAATTAAAAATAATAAAGTATTTTGGCTCTCTTGGCTCTTTTCCATTCATAGGTAGTTGCGTTTTGTATCTATAAAATGTATGTAAAATGTATCTTTTGTTTTTGTTTTTTGATGAGCAGTTTTTTTAAAGGAAGCTCTTTGTTAGAATGTACACAGTTCTGTCTTTAGATGAGGAAGTGCTGCCAGCCAGCTTAGATTGTCATGTCAGGACATGACTGGTTTAGTTTTATTATTCAGATAAAACCAGCTATGCTGCTAGCTGAATATTGTGGGGTCCAGGCTGGAAGACAACTTCACAGCACCAAAGAGAGAGAGAGAGAGATGGAATGTATTTTGTGAACATTGTCAAGGATGTCAAAATCACCACTGCTGTGCATCCTAACATCCAACACCTCCCCTGCACTGGATCCAGCCACCATGCATAGGCTGATGAATGCAAAATACGGTTTTCTTCTTAATGTGTTCTAGATTGATCTGGATACCATTGATGTCAGTAATCTCAACAGGCAATTTTTGTTTCAAAAGAAGCATGTTGGAAGATCAAAGGCTCAGGTAAGAGGAATCCTAAGGTTTTGTATATTTTGGTTTAATATTTTTCACAGAACTTTAGGGAAAATATGTATTTATTATATTTATATCCCACCTTTTTCCTTTCAAAGAACTCGGGGTGGCTCACATAATTCTCTTCCTCAATCTTACCTTCACAACATCAACCCTGTGTGGTAGGCTGGGCTGAGAGTCTGTGACTGGCCCAAAGTCACCCAGTAAGTTTCACATCTGAGTGGGGACTAGAACTCGGATCCCCTGAATCCCAGTTCCACACTCTTAACCACTACACCACCCTGGCTCTCAAAAGTGTGTGTATTTTACAGTTTGCTAAACATAGATTTCACATAATCATTTCAAGCTGTTCAGAATGAAGTTCCTTTATATATTATGCAAACACATTCTAGCAAAGTTACCTTATGCATCACATACAGAATGCTTTGTTCTGAGCATGGATGCTAATAGGATGCTTATGCCATTTTAAAAAATCGTGGCAGGTTCCAGTCCTATGTATGGAATTTGAACTAGTGTGATTCTGGAACGGATTAACTAAATTGGAGTGTGTTTTCTTATGTTACAGGTTGCCAGAGAAAGTGTGTTACGGTTTCATCCAGAGGCTAATATTACAGCTTATCACGACAGCGTTATGAAGTAGGGTTCTTTCGTTCCTAAATGTTGGAAGTTTTGAAAAAGCACTGCAGGATGGCTGCAAACTGTTGCATTAGCAATGGCTGCCCATAATGCTGTGCTTTCAATAAAGGTGCATCAGTGACCCAGAAGGAAAGATGTTTTCAATATGAAGCCATTTTCTCTCTGGTCACCAGAAGGGGACCCTTACTCACCACGGGTGACTCAGCAGATCACTCTTGCTCCATTTAAAAAAAGCACTGGCTGTGTTTCCAAGTCCGTGTGCGTCCTCTAAGTGTCCTCTGTTTAGCCTTGAGACTGTATTCCGTTTCTGGCCTGCACTGTACAGGCCTTTCCACAGCTTGAATGCTCAGGCTTCTAAGAGGCTGGGCTCAAATCTTCTGGTTTCTAGCCAGCTTCCACTTGCAACAGTTCAGCTATTTACATATTTGGAAGATGACATTACAGCTTTAGCCAAGTAGTTTAAAGCCTTTGAAGATAAGTGCTTGTCCTTAGGCAGGCTTATTCAGGGGAAAATCGAATGTATTGCCCAAGATTGTCTGGATTTGTCGCAGCAGTTCTGAAAATGAAGAAGAAAGTGAAAATTAAGAAAATAAGAGCAAATTATTTTAGTTTAGATCCTAGACCAGTCTTGCCTAGAGAAATAGTTTGGGAAGATTCCCAATCAACTGCCATCAGTCCAGAAATAAAGCAGTTTCTTTTGTTTTGCCCTGAGTTGCTCTTATTTGTTGACCACAGAAAATGAGGGTTCTTCCAAATGAGCTTATTCTTTCACTGGTACTTTGAGACAGACAATGTGACCAAGCAACTGTAACCAGCTGTGATGTGCTGTGTGGCAGATGTTGTGTGGCAAAGTTGACAGGCAGCTACTGAGCTACGCACAATGGGTGTGTGTTCTTTCTCCGCAGCCCTGATTATAATGTGGAGTTTTTTCGGCAGTTTACCCTGGTTATGAATGCCTTGGATAATCGAGGTGAGTCTTTGAGACCTGAAGTTTTGAAAGTGAGTGAAGGTCTGAGTCCTTTATGGCACAAGCAGGCTTCTAGCTTTGCAAAGTTTCTCTGTCCATGTAAACCTCTGCATTTGCTACTATTTCCCGGACAGTCCGGTGGGTTGCACCCTTGGTGCTCATCAGCCGCAGACTCCAAGGCTCATGCAGGGCAGGGAGAGTGGCAGAGGGGACCTCCACCTCCCTGAATCTTCTGCTCCACATTCTCACTAGATGGCAGAATTCAGTGCTTTGGAGGGAGAAGGACAGTAGCGCAGAGAATGCAGGACAGCTCATGCCCTGCTCTCCCCAGGCCCTTCCCCTCACTGCCCACCAGGACCCCCTCACCCCATCTCCAGGGCTGGGCCTCCAACCTCTTTCCACTTCAGCTATGAGGAGAGAAGGGAGTTAGAGAATGGATTTCCCGCTCTGGGGTCACAGCTCTATTGGGTCAGTTTTGGAACTGGGGCTTAGGAGTGGCCTGCAGTCCCTCAGACCAGTCCACGGGCGGCTCTCTTGGTGTTTGTACTGGGAAAGGCTGCAGTAGTTTAAGTAGCTCCTTGTAGTGCCTGAACGATACGGAGGTGGGGCTGACGGAAGGCCAGATCCCCACTCAAGACTGGGTTCAAAGCGGTTGCAAGCCAGTGACTGGATTCCTCCGTGCGCAGCTGCCCGTAACCACGTGAACAGGATGTGTCTAGCGGCCGACGTCCCCCTCATCGAGAGCGGAACTGCGGGCTACCTCGGACAAGTCACTGTGATCAAAAAGGTGCGCCTGTGTCTTTGCGCTTCCAAATGGAGGCATGTTGTGATCCCTAAGAGTTGCATGTTAGCTGGCCACGGAAACCTCATGGCATTTCTCTCGCTCACTCTGCTCCTGCCTCCGCTCCAGGGAGTGACCGAATGCTACGAATGTCAGCCGAAGCCGACCCAGAAGACCTTTCCAGGCTGCACCATTCGCAACACGCCGTCTGAACCCATCCACTGCATCGTGTGGGCCAAGTATTTGTTCAAGTGAGCGGCGTTGCGCCATTTCCTTGTTTGTGTGGGGAGCCAGCGCAGTGTAGCTCTTTGCAGCTGCAGAGGCCTGGCCTGGGCTGGTGCCCGAGCTGTGCTCCGGGCATCGGAACAGGCCTGGCTGGCTCCTGCTTTCTGTGCCTGGGACATTGCAAAGACCAGTTGTAAGGGCCTAATGGGTGGAAATCCTACCCGGAAGAAGTGACCTGGAACGGATGACCTTGAACCTCTGGTGGGTTGCTGCTCTCCTGCTGCCCCAGGGGTCCTCAGACTTTTTCAGTAGGGGGCCAGTTGAAAGGCGGTGGTGACTGTCGTGGGCCGGTGAGGTGGGGGTGCCGTCGGGCGTGTGCGATGTGGGCCATGTCCGTCCCACAGGCCATAGTGTGAGGACCCATGTGCTACACAGAACTCGCACCTCAGACACACCGGCATGTCCCACTGGACTATAGGCTGCCCCAGGTGCAGGTTTCCTGTGGGAAAATGTCTGATTATTTATTGAGATGCATTAAACATCTTTCCGGGAAAGATTGGTAGTAGGATTGCCACCAAAGCAGGGCAGTGAGAAAGCTAAGGCAGGTATGTTTGGAGAAACCCTAACATTTGTAGAAGAACAAAAAAACAAATCTTTAAAACTTAAAAAGGCCCGAAAAAAAGTCAGCAGTAACAGCCCAACCAGGACAGTAGGCAGAAAATACAAAAGAGCAGTTGAAGAAGAAGCGTACAGCATGCGGCAGGGGGAGAAGTGTGCTGTTCTGTTTGGAAGCGGCAGTGGGCTGGCGTGCCAATCAAGAGTGTTCCACCACCCAAGGATATTTTGCACCACACTTCCCTTTTCTAAACTAGGCCAGCTTCTCAGATTTGTGCAGACAGGTTGGACACAACTTGAAGACCACCCTAGGAAGAGACCTTTTCAGCCCCTGACCAGGAAAATGCACTTCTTGTGTATTTCAGCCAGCTGTTTGGAGAAGAAGATGCAGATCAAGAAGTATCTCCTGACAGAGCTGATCCTGAAGCGGCTTGTAAGTACGCGTCTGTTTTTTCCTTCTCGGAAGACCCCGCAGTCCTTTAGATCAGCCGTCACGGCACTTCTCAGGCATTCCCTCTGCAGCCCACATTGCTGCCTCCACTAGAAGCCAGCTACCACATATGACTCTTCCCTTTATCTCCTGCCGCAAAACCAAAAGGTTCCGCATGCAGCGAGTAAGAGGAGCTTCAGCTGCTGCTTCCAGTTTGGCTGCGCTGCAGCTTTCCTGGTGGGCAGCCAGCGCTAGGAACAGGCATCGCCTGGTGCCCAGTTCCAGTCAGCGGACTTGGGGGAGCAAATATTCCCGCGAATCTTCTGATTCTGAGCGGGGGCGTTGGGGTGCAAGGAGGGCTTACTTCTGAAGCAGCTGCGCATCATGCACTCTGTACAAAAGTCCCCCTGTGCACCCGTCCCAGCACATGAAGAGGGTCGTCTCATTGACAGGGGAGCCAGCAGAAGCAGAGGCCAGAGCGAGAGCCTCGAACGAGGATGGGGATATCAAGCGCGTTTCAACCAAGCAGTGGGCCAAATCCACAGGATACGACGCTGTTAAACTCTTCACAAAGGTAGTGAAGGCCTCACATGGGAAAAGGGAAATGTGTCCTCTGCACGCATCCTTGCAGGCCAAGGGACAACGGTGATGATCAGAGGAGGAGGAGGAGCGTGAAGTGAACGCCACCCTGAGCAGCTCACCCGGCACTCGTATCCACTTCCCACCCCCATAGTCAGGTGGAGCCCCGTGCCAGTGGGGCTCCTTGCCACTTTCGAGTCAGTTCTCGGCCCCACAGGAGCTCTCCGTGGTGCCAAGTGCCCCGGCCCTGCCAAATCGGGCTTACCGCCAGCTCAGAACCTTGGATGGCTCCTTAACGGCGGGCTGTGACCGTGTCTCGTGGCTGGGGTTCACTCCCTCGCCCCGAAATTAAACTTGCAGGGAGCCATGCTGACACGGTCCCCACAACCCCCCCACACACATGGCGGGTTGAGTCTGGTCTGGGAATTCCTGCCCTCAAGCACTTGGGGTCTTTCAGGTGCCACCCGAAATTTTGTCCAGAGCAGTGTTTTGAATGAGGAAAACAGAGAGTGGCTGGGTGGACGGCTAGAGATGAACTGTGTTTCTGCTACGGAATCCATGGTCACGCACCGTTACTGGAGGTTGATGGCCATTATTCTCCAGGGTTTTTTTAAAGTAAGGGGGCTGTTTATTTGTAGTATTTGTAGGCCACCCTGCATCACTTTGATTCCATTGTGTTTTGCAATTTCTTTTAAAGGTAGTCTAGCATGAAACGCCCGGCCCTCTTGGAGCCAGAGCGCTTTGCAGTGATGCTGAGTACGAGTCGTCGGTAGAAACGAAGTGTCTTCCGGGGAGGGTCGACACAGAGGATCACCTTGTCCGCACCTGACCTTCCATGCTGTTTCTTTTGTTTTAGCTTTTCAAAGATGACATCCGGTATCTGCTAACAATGGATAAGCTTTGGAGGAAAAGGAACCCTCCAACACCCCTGGACTGGAATGAAATACAAAATCAAGGTAAGCTTTTTGCCTTTCTGCTGAAAAGCAAGCCAGAACCAGCCTGATGGCTTCCTTTGGTTGCAAGACGTGGTTCTGCAGTCCTCCCAAGTTTCACCACTAGTTCGGGGTAGCAAACTGGGGTGACTGTGTGTGCGTGCAGGGGGTCCGTGTTTTCACGCAGCGGCCTGCACTGCTTCCTGCCGAGTCGGGCTGCCGTGCCCTCTGGCCCCGTGCCACTGAGGGGGGCCTGCGGTGTCCCATTCCGGGGACCTTCTGCCGCAGCATTGAGCACGGTGCTGCCCAGCGACGACATGGGAACGCATGCATAGCCTTTGGAAGACTTGGAAATGGCTCTAAAGAAAACGTTTTTCCACCCTTGTCGTCTTAACGCATTGCTGCGGTTGAAGAGAACAGCACAACCGACCAGCCGAACGAGCCTTCCTTGGGCCTGAAAGACCAGCAGGTCCTAGATGTCAGGAGTTACGCGCGCCTGTTTTTCAAGAGCGTAGAGACCCTAAGAGTGCAGCTGGCTGAAAAGGGCGACGGGGCTGAACTTGTATGGGATAAGGTTAGTCCAGTGTCTGTGTGGGGACGCATCGCCTGTGGAAGGACAGACCTGCGTGGCCAAGTTCTGCCAGACCTCTGTGCTTGCAACCACGAGCAGCTTGACCGGTTGCTGTTCGGTGGGGATGCTGCCCTCCCGAGCCCCCGGTGCCTTTGGCCCCGAGCTCGAGCCCATGCAAGCTCAGACCCCGGCCTGACATTGCAGGGTGGCCATTAGCTAGCTGAGCTGCTGCCAGAGAAGCGTTTTGGCCGCGCAGAAGCATTTGGGGCTCAGGGTGAAGAATGCAGATGAGCAATCGGAGCCACGGTCGCTTTCTGTCTTGCTCACGGTTCGCATTGACCTTGCCAACCAGGAGGATCCTTCTGCAATGGACTTCGTCACTTCGGCTGCAAACCTCCGGATGCACATCTTCAGTATGAATATGAAGAGCAGATTTGATATCAAATGTAAGGAGGAAGCGCTTCCACTGGCATTTCTCGTATTCGCTTGGTCCTTTCCCGCATGCAGGGAGGAAGTAACTTTCCCGGTTTTTTTGCAGCGATGGCGGGAAACATCATTCCAGCCATTGCGACCACGAACGCCATCATAGCCGGCCTGATCGTGCTGGAAGGTTTAAAGATCCTCTCAGGAAAAATCGACCAGTGCCGGGCAGTAAGTATGTCGCTTGTTCCTTCCTTTCTCGCTCTTGCTGGTTTGTGCCGGCGTGGTGATCCACCTTCTCTTCTTCTCCAAGATCTTCCTCAATAAGCAGCCCAACCCAAGGAAGAAGCTTCTGGTGCCGTGTGCGCTGGACCCCCCGAACCCGCATTGCTACGTGTGTGCGAGCAAGCCCGAGGTGACGGTGCGGCTGAACGTCCACAAAGTCTCCGTGTTGACACTGCAGGACAAGGTGAGCGAGCGGTTCCCTTGGCCGGCTACCGGCTGGAAGCGAAGCGCGCTCACCTGCGGGCCCTTGACCCTGCTCCCCAGGCGCCTGGGGTCCCCTCGCCCGAGCCGCACAGCCCCCGTTCTTGAGCCCCCCTGGTTTTGCCTTGTTCGTGAAGGGCGGGCTCTTCCCACACGCACGCTGTCGCGCTTCCTGCCCTGTGGAAGAGAAGGGTCCCAGCGGAGGCGCTCCGCCCTGGGTGCTTCGGCCTCCCCGCACCATGAAATACACTCCCCGGCAGGCTGCTCTTGTCGATCCTTTGACAAGAACTGACACGGTCGCCAACGAGCCGCTTTGGAGTTTTGCCTCATTGCTGGGTGTTGTCTTCAGGGCGACGGGGAGACCGGAAGAGGCGTTTCTCAGTTTGGGGGACCGTTCTGCGTTAGGGAACAGCGTTTAATGCTGCTGTTGCATGAACTGAGTCAGGTGCAGGTTTGTTTCTGTCAGTAGCAGTGGGAGAGAAGCACCTCTGTGGCCTCAGAAACACCCGTTTGCTCCTGCACGGTGCTTGGGGAAGACTTGGAGGGCCATTCTTGTTTATGAGGATTGTTGGCAGATATTTATTAACACACTTGCACTTTCAGATAGTGAAAGAAAAATTTAATATGGTAGCACCAGATGTCCAGATAGAAGATGGCAAGGGGACCATTCTTATTTCTTCCGAAGAGGGAGAAACTGAAGGTATGGCATGAAAACTAAATGGCAAACATGTTCAGGGACAGTTTCTGCAGCAACACCCAGAGCTTGTTTGGGCAACATGCCTGATTTGCATAACCCCCAAGCCTCCGTTCCTACTCGGTGGTTGTGGTGTTGTGTGAACCAGACGTGAATTCTGCGAGGGTCAAACAGCTCTTGCATCCCCCTTGAACGGGCTGCCGCACATAGTTGCAACCAGATTGGGTTTAGGGGATTATGTTGCCACTCATGAACTCTCCACCTGGCCTGACTTGTAGGGCTGCTGTTCCAAGGAGAAGGAATTCTGAAGTGTAATGAAGCGACTATAATCGGGGTTGTACTCGTGAATTATTGGGGTTCCAGCAAGTGTTGCACCTGGGAAGCAGCCGTTCTTTTCTCCTCCTGTTTGCCGCGCACGTCCCTCCTTCGGGCATCTTTCAGAGCAAGGCTTGTTGCTATACCAAAGTCGGCATCCTTCAACTTTCCTAGCAGCCTTATTTCGTTGTTGTGTGCTTGATTTGAGAGAGCTCCTGAAGGCTGCCAAAGCTTCTGCGGTGCACCAAATTCCTCTTCCCCCCCCCCTTTTCTCCCCCACCCTGCCCTGGTCCTAGCAAACAATCACAGGAAGTTGTCAGAATTTGGGATCCGAAATGGCACCCGGCTGCAAGCAGATGACTTTCTGCAGGACTACACCTTGCTCATCAACGTGTTGCACAGGTGAGCCCTCTTAAGTCCTAGTTCCTTGGAGTGTCCCCAGAACCGGAAGTGGCACCTCTGAGGAAAGGGCCAAGTGGTTACAGGCACAATGCAGGTTTTTTCTGACCCAGATCTGCTCTGAGTGTGTGGGAAACGAAGTCAACGGAGTTTTCTGCACCTCAGAGGAATTCCTGCCATGTCGCTGCCAGCGCAGCACTCATTAAACGGTTTTGACCACTTGATGGAGGGAGGCTGTTGAAGGGGAGCAGCCGCTCAGGGGGGTTTCATCGTGTGCTCACGGAAGCCTTTTCTTGTGGCCTTCCTTCCCAGCGAAGAGCTTGGGAAGGATGTGGAGTTTGAAGTTGTGGGCGATGACGTCGTTGGCCCCAAAGCATCCGAGCCGCGCACCAAGAGCATCGCCAATGGGAGTGATGACGGGGCCCAGCCCTCCACATCGACAGGTGAGTCTGGCCGAGGGCAGGGAGGGCTGGTCTTGAGACCCTGCAGCCATCTGGAGGCCCTTCAGCCCCCTCAGACACTGACATGGAGGAGGCTGGAAGCTAAACGAACGCAGTGCCTTTTAATTTTCCTCAAAACTTAATTTTCCAGCGTCCACAGCCCAGGGGCCATTGACAATTTCTTGGACTCATTGTGTGCGCGTGACCTGGGTTTCCCATCACCCCTCCTTTTGCCCAATGCCACCTCGGCACCCTTGCATCCGGTGCCGGTCATGTTGTGAAATGTTAGACACCATGTGTTGATCGTGCGATGGGTGACCTGCCTTTGCGTAATGCCCGGTCACATAATCTGAAAATGGCGAGCGCTCAGCTGCACTGCAGTGACTCTTTCCCTTCCAGCTCAAGACGACGACGACGACGTGCTGATCGTCGAGACCGAGGAAGGCCCTTCCTGCAATGCCGATGACACCGAAAGCAAGCACCGCAAGAGGAAGCTGGAGGATAAGGAGCACAGGGGCACAAAGAGGCTGCGGGCAGAGCCGCCGGCCGACGATCAAGGCGACGTGATCGCCCTTGACTGAGTGCTGGTGCCTTCAGGCCGCTGGGATGTGGTTGCGTCCCAGAACCACCCCTTCCTCCAGGACAGAAGCACTGCCTTCCTGTTTGCAGGCTCTGCCGTTCTCTCATCCAGTAGCATTTAGAACCTTTCCGAAAAGCTGTCCGGAGCCTCGTAGACATCCAGTTTATAAGCCCTTTTAAGCAGTCACAGGAGCAAAGCATGGCCTTTTGTCTTAACTGTTTGAATGATGAAGAATCAGGATGGGAAAACCAGGGGACTCCGTTACGGGGATTCTCGCTCGATTGCTTCTGGGAGGTTTTGAATCCTGGCTCGTAAGTTCAGCTAGCCTGCTTCTCGCTAAGTTTTCACGCCTGCAAAGTAAAACATTTTCATCGAAGGTGTGTCGCGTTTCATCGACCGGCAAAATGTGCATTAATGTAAAAAAAAAAAAAAAAGGCCAGGTTTGTCTGCTCTCGTTGGCTCGTACTGCCTGGTATCAGTGTCAGAAACAGGCTTTGGTGTACTGTTACAGTATCAGGTTATTTATACAGGTTGTTTTGTAAACCTCAGTGCTCCGCTGTTCACCGATGGACCAAATGCACATACAGACTGTTGGCCGCTTCCGGCTGCGCAGCCCACCTGTGTGCTGGACTGAGGGTTTGTAAAGTGCGTACGCGGTCTTCATACTTAATGCTGTACTCAGTCTGGGTTTTTAACATCCTACAAGCATGGTTTGAGACTTTGGAAACATCCTTTGTTGAAATTGAAAAGGGAGGATTTTTTTAATAAAACACTTTGTCACTGATTTTCTTTAACAGTCTTTATTCTGCTCGAACACTTTTAGTATTTTTCCACCATTTTTTCCCTTTTTCCAGTGGGTTGCCGCCTGTTATTCCATCACATTAAAGGGGGCTGTAGTCTTCAGAAGCTGACGCCAGGGTAACTTCATTGATCTTTACGGTGTCATCATTTCACCTTTTTGCACCCTTGAAAAATGTGCCTGGATAGTTGACAAGCTGGCCCCGTGGTTTTCTAGGCCAGGCAAGGAGGATGTATAGGCTGGATGGGGGCCCTTGGCTGGCCGCCCTTGCCCGTGAGCCACACGCTTCACCTGGCTGAGTTCAAATGGGTTTGATGGTGTTTTGACAGCATTCGCCCTGTGCTCAGATAATTCTTTCGACTTCAAACACACAGGGGAGGTTCTAGGGGCACCGCCTTTCTCCTGCCACATCGCATCCCTTGCACGAGCGGAACCCCCTGGAGCAATTCCGCCTCATAAGCAACCCCCGAACAAACCCGCGCTCATCTGCAGGTCATTCCGTGAGCTCTGCTGTGAGCGAGCGTTTCCATGCATTTCGACTTCCACCCCAGGGCACGAGCACTCGGTTCACTGTATGCAAGCGCCTTTCTCTCCACGGCAATGCGGCACCAAGACCCAAGCCGGAAGATGAGGCTGCAGCAGTGCAGGCCGGGTGGAATCTCGGGGTCCTGTCCCGTGGTCACCAACCTTGGATACCACCTTTGACGTTCAAGAGCAACTTGAGGTGTTTACGAGCAGCAGAGGCACAAGGAGAAGGTAAGCGCTACCCCAGGACCATGTAACCATGGGGCCAAACTGGCCCACCACCCTGGAGATGAGTATCCTCTCCCCGCTCAGAGGGATGCTACAAAGAGCAGCAGGAATCTAGCTTTCTCTGGGGGGTGCCCCTAGCAATTCGGCAGCATCCCTGAAGCAAACAGCCCCACCAATCAGCAGGGCTGGTGCTTGTTTGTTTATTAACTTATATTCCACTATAGCTAGTCCAAAGGCTAAGCAGATTACAACAATATTACGTAAAATAATACGTATTATTATTTAATAATAATTCCACTATAGCTATTCCACTATAGCTAGTCCAAAGGCTAAGCAGATTACAACAATATTACGTAAAATAACATCAAATTTGAAAACAAAAAATACAATAAACAATATGCAGCCCGAGGGATCAGATATCAATAAGTTAAAGATACGGTATCTTTTTGTTTTGTTCTCTGCTATGATTGACTGGTCGGTTATATTTCTGTATTCCTTTTTGACAGCCAGCAAGAGTTCAGAAACCATGAACAGAAAACACTGCTTGGGCATATTTGAACACTTGCTCCAGTTCTCTATCTAATTTAGTGTTTTATTGCTAGTGCCACCTTTTCAGCCAAAGCTGGCGCTCAAGGCAGCTGAAAATAAAATAGAGAGAGTGAACCTTTAGTTAACAGATAACCTAAAATCCCAATTAAAATGCAGCTGGAAAGGAAACCCGCAAGCATCAGCCCATGTCCCCAGCCCAATTTCCCCCAGAAGGGGCTGGCCATGGGCCCACTCAGGTTCTCTGCAGTTTTGCATAACGAAGCACGGAACCTGCCATACCGGGCAACACGCTGCTTGTCTGAGCTGTGGCGGCAAGGGGCAGGCTTTGCCTCCGTGGCAGCTGGGAAGCGCCTCTGGCAGGAGCGACGCGGTCCCTAGAGTGCTGCCAAACCAAGCGGCCCACAGTCTGAGGGAGCCTTGCGATGTGCCCTCAGCAGGGCCACTGCTTGTCCCTCACAGTTGTTTTCAGCCTGTTGTAAAAGAACCACAAATCATAAAGCAGACTCCGTATCTGCAGCACGCCAGACGACCGTCTGGAGCCATTTTCTTTATTTTGGGATTCAGAATGCAAAACTGCATTTCTTTATTTGTTTTACTGCATAAACAGCACCGAAAGCCCTAAATCCCAGGGGTGGGCTTTGTCTATCGATCTAATCTGAGGTATTTATGGCGAGTCAATCATGGCCGTATCTTTTGTCCGCTTGCGTGGCCAGCTTTTAGCTGTATCAGCATTCAAATATTGAAAGAATGGTAAGAATTTTGATCATATTGATGGCTGGTGGGAAATGGAAAAGTGGAATGCAAGTTATCACTGGGGGGGCCAGTAAAATAAATGTTGAGGATGTTTTTCAGGCCTGGGTCAAGTCAAGTCTGCATCTGCCCAAGGAAAGAGACCCAGCGAAATGGGCTGGCGGAGTTCATAGGTCATTCCCGTGGTTTATTCCAGTTCAGCACACCAGAGCTGCCTTCCCCCGCTGGACAGCAAGGCCCTGCGCATGGAGAGTGTGCTTGCTGTGAGCACCGGGTGCACAGAGCGATGCCCAGGATGGAAGAAAAGCCCCGCTGGATCAGGCCGCGGCGCCTGCCCCGTCCAGCCCTCCGTGCACACAGAGCGGGACAGCCGTCGCCCCTTCCCACGGCAGCAGCTTCCGGGGTTCAGCTTCCTTTTCCCTGTCCCAAACGTCCCCCGTCAGCTTCACGGGTGACCCCTTTGGGCAGAGCGTTATAGGAGAGGGAGAAAGGGGGCACCCTCCCCACTTGCTGCGCAGCACGCGCAATTTCGAGCACCCCCGCAGCACCTCCCCTTCCTCACCCTTCTCCGAGGTGGAACAGCCCCAGCTGCGGCAGAGGCTCCCTTCCCGCCGTCTTTGTGGCCTGCCTCTGTCCCGTCTTCGGAGCAGCCCGCCCCGCGGTACCGGGGAAAGAGGTCTAGCAGACAGCCATGCCTGGCCTATCGGTGGTGGCGTCTCCCCGCTTTGTTCCGCGATTGCGTGGGCAGAGCTGGGACCGGTGAGACTCTGGGAAGGGCCAGGTGTGCTTCTTGTAGCCCTTTCAGCCCCGCCGAGCACTTAACCCCAGGTGGGAGCAGGCCGCATTTCTATAATACGGAGACCCGGCATTGTTGTTCTGGGCTACGCCTGCATTTTCAGAGACTGCCAGCACTTCACGGATGCTTTCTTCCACAGAGAGTATTTCAGCCAAGTTGGTGAGCTGATGTTTTGGCAGCTGGGAAACCCCTTTTCCCCACCCGCTGGAGAAATGCCTCCAGGACAGGAAGGGAGAGAAACTATCCACTTATAAACAAGTTTCTACCATGCAGAAATCCCCCCTCTTTCCGAGCCACAAACCCAGTGGCTCTTCCGGTCCTACAAAGTTAAAATCAAGCCTATGGGAGCCAGGTATTTTGCCCGGGTTTCCAAAAAGAGTGCTTCTTGGTGGAAGAGGGCTAGCCATGGTTTTCAGCCTTGGAAGTCAACTTAAACAGAAGTGCTAGTATAGGGAGGCTCCATGTAAAGTTGGTGTGAAGGCAACAGACAAGCAGCGCCGATGCACTTTCTGCAAGAAGAAAACCTCTCAACGAAATTGCCTCCGTGCAGCTGAAATGGACCAGGACCACCAGGAGAGGGCATTCCAGAACGTGCCCAGATAAGTCACACGTGTTTGCTCAACAGATCCATTTGGTAAACTTAAACAGGAGGTCGAGATAATGGGCTTTTCAAAAGGTTATTTTTGAGGGTGTCTTTATTTCATTCTGCTTTTTATTGTTTGGACTTTTTGTAGACTGCTTCAGCTGTCTACAGAGAGAGAGCACAGAAATGCCTGCAAAAGGAAAATGTACGTCTTGCTGAGCAAGCCCCAAAGATGACAAAATTTTATACATTTGCACATAATTTACATGTGCAAATATATGCACAGTCAGAAGTAATTCCTTTCATGTGACTTTTTACGGGAGGCATGGCAACTTACACTCTTGCTTGCTTTCAGGACAAAACGGTGCAGTATCTCCAAACACGAGCCCACGCTGCCCCGTCGTCTCTGAGGCCCAAATCCAGACGGGGAGCATGGAGCACTCAGCACCAGCAAGGAGCTGTGGAGTCCCTTCAGCACTTCCTGAGGGGCTGCCCCCTGAACATGGCGCATTGGTGAGAGAGAGGGTGGGCACGTGCGGGCGACCAGGCTCTCCCCCGCCCTTGGGCTGAGAACTCATGCGATGGCTCGGGAGGAACCCCTATTAAGCATCTGGATTCCCAGTCAGAAAATCCTGTGCAGTGGAAATATAGTACCATGAATACATGACATTATTTATTTATTTGAAACCATTTATATGCCATTCTTTCACTATCACATCCCGGGACGGCTTACATGATTGAAAGCACACCACAGAACCATCGATAAAACAGAACAATACAGTAAAATGATCAAAACCAGAATAAATAAATCCAATCAAGAATGGCTTGCTTGCTGCTTTCTCACACTCCAAAGCAGGTGTGCCCGTGTGGGCTGAAGGTATCCTGTCTCTGAATAGCACCCCTATGTGTAAGAAAGGGTCTGGGCCAGGAAGGGGGACATCTGATTTCAGAACAAATCCCAGCCAGAAAAGGGGGTGGCAGCAGGGAAAAGCCAGCTCCTCCGGGGGATTGGGGCCAACGCGGGTCCTCAGGGCCCTCGTGCCCGTGACTCATGGCCAACGTCGTGGCCCCGCGGACTACCTCTCAGGGTTCTTGTGGGGATAAGGATGGAGTGGAGACCTTTGCACAAGGGTTGCTTGGAGGTAAACAGGTGAGATATTAAAAATGTAGTATCACTCAATAACAGCTGGACAGTTCTGCTATTAATTGCTGCAGGCTTCCATGAAATTGGATGGGGCTCTTCACATTATAGCTATAATTACTGGTAAAACTATTATTATTATTATTGGTATTGGTATTAATTTCTATACCATGCAATAGCTGAGGCTCTGGAAGCAGTTTACAACAGTGCATTAAAAGTACAATATAAAATGCACCATATTAAAACATTGTTATTTTTTTTAACCCCTTAAGCCAGGATGATAACCATTCTTCCAGGTTTTTCTTCTTGGTATTCAGGACCCGAGCCATACGACTTTACCCTTTCCTTGCATATGTATGTGATCAAGGAAAAGATATATAGCGTACACAACAAATGGTTAATCCAAGCACTTGCTCTATTTATAATTGATATCTAGCCTTTTCCTGGAAGGAACGAAAAGGTCACCTTGCCTTTTCTTCTTCTTAAAGGCTATTTTATTAATTATTAATAGAGCGATAGCCCCTCCTTTCCTGAAATATGCCAGGAGGGCTTACAAAACGGGTAGTAAAGCAAGGCAACGAAATGCCAAGGGGCTGCAGGAAAGAGCTGGGCCTCCCTGGGGGCCGTGTCCCACGGCCGAGAAGGCAGCAGTGAGGCAGCCCTCTCCATGTGCAAGGGACACACCCGGCAGTGCGTGAGCTGGGCCGTCCCACAGCTCTGGTGCTGACCGCGGGGCAGCAGCCTCGCATCTGATGTTTGGTGCCCTCTCCACTCTTCCGGCGAGGATTTCCCCCAACCTTCCCTTCGGCACCAAGCACTTCAGCATCGCCTTCGTTTACCGCACGTTCCACATGTGGCCGTTCCTCCTGGACGCTGTCATGGCCCAGGGAGGCCTCTTGCGCATACCCCAGAAAGAGGATCGAAGAAGTATTTCCTCGAGCCCACATCTCCACGGAGGCACGCCGCACGATGCACCCACCAGAAGGAAGCATGGCAGGCGACTAGTCCAGGCGGTGCCTTGCGCAGCTGCTCCCAGGGCTGGGCAGCGTCTGGGCCCAGGCTGCCTCCTCTCCCTCCTTCGGGATCTTTGGCTTTAAACCTCTTCCAGCAGAGGACTATCTCTCCCTCTCTCTCTGTAAAGCAGGAGACCTGCCCACCTGCCTGTTCCATCCCCGGCATCTCAGATTGTCCTGCCCTGTCCACACACTGGCATCGTGTCACCATGAGCCGAGCCCGGGAGGGGGCTGCCCGTCCTCCCACCCCGATGCACCAGGGTCTTTCCAGATGGCCTGTGGCCTTTCGGGTTTTCCACCTGCGCACTCCGAGGGGGCAGCAGCTGCCAGTGTTTAGTTAAGAGTGATAACAGATAACGTGTCCTTGGCCAGGTGCGCAGGCGGCAGGTTGGCCAAACTTTGGAGCAACGCAGGCGGCGGCAAGTCCGGTCACCAAATGGCACCACTTGCGCAAGCTCGCGTGGAGGGTGGGGCTGCGCGGAGCCAGCTCTCCAAGCCCATCCGGGGGTGCTGGGCTGGGGAAGCGGCCAGGCAGCAGCCCCCGACTTGGCCGACTGGACAGCAGGGCATCGCCTGGGCAGGCCAACAGTGCCGGGTTGCCCCAGCAGCTGCAGGAAGAGGCAGGGAAGCGTGGACCTAACCCCCCCTCAGGGCTTCTGCTGCCGGCCCGTGCTGGGCGAAATGGCGCCTGGGCCTGACTCTGCCCAAGGCAGATGCTGCTGCTGCTCCCACCCCGCCCTCAGCAGCGCCAGCCCAGCCCTGGGTGGGCCGTCCCACCAGGCCTGGCTCCGGGGCGCATTGTGTGGGGGCTGCCGGGTGCGCCTTGTCAAAGCCTCCTGGGCCCAGTCTGGAATCGCAAGGGGCCGGTGCAGTCGTGGCGGTCTTCATACAGAGCGACACTGTCGGGTGACAAATATTTGTTTTTCTCAAAGCAGCAAACAGCCGTAAAACAAAGTAACATTTCCAATCCATCAGATCAAAGCAACTGAGAGTTAATTTAGGGGACAGCCCTGTGTGTATGTCTGCAGAATTCTGTCCTACAACTCTGAGCATCTCCCAGTGCTGCAAGCTGTACGATTTGTGGTGTCTAAACTTCCACAGGATAGACAGGAAAAATCACTGTGTCTTTCAGGCTGCAACGGGTACCTAGGAGGCACCTACAGTCGTCTTTGTTCTCGCAATTACAGGCCATCCACTCGTCTCCAACCGAGGCGACCCGGGAAGGCCACCGACAACTGCAGCGACCCAAGCCCCTCAGCTGTGAAGGGAAACGGCACCCCCAGCTGATTCGCAGCACCCGGTCCCCGAGCACAGGCAGGCACCGCTGCTTCCAGGAGGACCAGGCTGCGGGACGCGTCTTGGGCCCGTGGAGACCGGCACAGACCCACAGGCGAGGCAGCTCCTGGGCACCGGCATTTCTGCTGCAACCCCAGCGCCTCCCTGGCGTTCCTCCGCCTGTCGCCCGGCGGGCGGGAGGACGGGAAAGGGGTGAGCGCCCAATTCTGGTCCCCACTCCGCCATGGAGCTCACTCAGTGGCCTCACGCCAGTCACGGGCACTTGGCCGGACCTACCTCACAGGGCTGTCGTTGTGCGGAAAGAATGGACCTAGGCAGTTGCAGAGAGAGGGCAGGCCGGGCCGGGCCGGGCCTTTGGGTTGCCAGTGCTAGGAGGTGTCAGTCATGGCACCGGCAGCCGGCTCAAACTTCCAGACGGCCCAGGCCACGTCTCCCACCATTCCCGACTATTGGGCCCCTCACGGGGATGATGGGAGTCGGAGTGCAAAATGCCCAGGGGGCACCTGGTGCAACAAGTACGTTCGAATGCTGCTGGGCGCCCCGTTGCGCGGGGCCTGCACGCCGGGAGGCCCGGGCAGCCGTCGGGGGCGGCGCCGGGGAGGCCGCGG